AAGGACTTATAAAATATTTTGTAATTGATACTCCTGTGTAGTCTACAATGTTGTTAGAAAAAGAGGAGAAACATTGAGATATAAAATTAGAATATCCACATGAAAGTTTTAAAAATATAATATATTTATATGTTTTGAAAGTCTTACTTCTTATCCTTTTATGCAGAATTATTTCATCCAATCAAATTTTTCTGAAGCATTTTTTGAAGTATTTTTACTAACATTGGCCATAAATTAAAAAATGATTTTTTAGTGCCATATGTTATCTAAGTAATGCTGTTGAATATTGATATGAAAACTTAGTATGTCTATTTCACATCTACATTGTATTTGAGTTGATTTAGATTTAGTTTGGTTTTAAAATCATCACTTTATTTTTCAATTCATTTATGGAAGTGTAATATGTGTTATTCATCTAGCTATGAAGGACATTTCTCTAGATGAAAAATAGCTGCAAATTGTTTTATGGTTTTTATTGGTCTAAAATAGCTAAAGACTTTATGGAATTTAGTATAGCATGTATTTTTGTGTCAATCTATAAGTAATATGAGAACAAGAGGAAATGTCCATGAGTAATATATTAGTTGTCAAAATTTTTGATGTATATAATATATTGATTTTATAAGTCTATTCCCATCATTTGAAAGATTTGAATATATCTTTCTTACTGTTGATTATATATGATTATTGTAAAGGTTATTTCTACCAAACTAATGATAATAAAGTCATGCTAAAATTTATGTAGGAAAATATGTTATCAAGGTTTGGATGTTCTAGAGTAATTATTAATGACAGAGTAACACATTTTACAAATAAATAGTTCAAGAAATTACTAAAGGAAAATAGAGTACATCATAAAGTAGCCATTCCATGTCACCCTCAAATGAATGGACAAATTGAAGTAACAAATAAAATAATTCAGAGAGTTTTGATGAAAATAATAAGACCTGATAGAAAAGATTGACCCACGAAATTAGAAGATATTATATGGACTTATAAAACAGTATATAAAAATCTCATAGGAATGTCCCCATTTCATCTTATTTTTAGAAGAAACAATTTATCTTCAAGTTGAAATAAAATATAAAGTATTATGGGTATTAAAAAAATTAGGAACAAAGCTTATGAGAATCATAAACTATATAATGAAAAATTAAAATATTTGATGATAGGTATATTAGCAGAATTTCTTTTGATGTTGGATATAATGTGTAGCTTTATGATTTGAGGCTAAAATTATTTTCAAGAAAATTAAAATCGAAATGGGCAAGACTTGATGTTGTAAAATAAATATATGATCATGGAACTATGATGATTAGAGATCTTAAACATAAAAAAATTAAGGTAAATGGACAATAGTTTAAACATATAGAAAATGAATGCCTTGCAAAAAAAGATATCTTTTTATTAGAAGAAATTCAAGATCATGACTGATTTATTCATCTAGAGACAATAAACTCAACACTACATGGGAGGCAAGCTATGATTTTTATTTTGCTGATGTAAAAATTGTATTTTAAGTTTTTATTTAATAGTAATTTTTCTATATGTATTTCTTCACGTAAAAGTGTAGAAGAAGGGATGTTAGATGAAAGGAAAGTGAAGAACTAAGCTGACGTGATATCATTTTTTACTTCACTTGATAGGATTTTATCTTTTATGATTAAAATATATGATAAGGGGACAGTATTTTTTATGAAATTGAGATAAAGAGATAGTATGTTTTAAAAAATATAAAAATAATAAGAAATAATTAAAAAGGAAAATAATATTCTTTGCATTTTAAACTTTCACAAAGTGCTTGAGCTCTAAATCTTCTAAATTTGATGTGTGCCTACATTCTACATTGGTAAATGGCTCAAAACCTACAAAATATTCTAGAGAAGTTAGCAAAGAAAATTGAAAAAATAAAATAAAATAAAATGTCAAAGTAAACCTAAATAGGGAAAAATAAGAGAAGAGAGAGAAAATACGACCACTAAAAGGGAAACCACACTAGTAGTTGAACAAAAAAGAAGTTGAGTCTAATTCCTATAAAAATGGAGTAATCATTTGAATTAAATTGATCTAAATAATCGTACTAATTAAATTTCACATGAGAAACTAAAATTATGAAGAGAAGCACTGAAAATAAAACTAAAACCCAAATTATCTACCAGTAGAGTGACTCTACAAGTAATAAAAAGGAAAAATCTTTTGATTTGAATGCTTATAAATATTAAGTAATAGATGAGCATAAATAGATCTAAACGATTGTAATGAAGTTCAATTATGTGAGGAAAACTAAAATCACACAAATAATGAGTTAAATAAAATAAATGTAGGAATTTGTCCCTATGTGTCACCCAAGAACATAGTATTGTCATGCTAATAAAATGGATCGAAAAACTGATTAAATAGCGATAAAAATGTGGAGTAAAACGTTTAATATTGTCATCTGCTTGTCACCCATATAATGAGCTAAAATTAAACGGAAATAAACTCAAATCAAAGCCAAAATCTGATTCTTAAACACCATCTATAGCTCCACTCACGTATCACCCAAAATCGAATGTGAATCCACTGAAAAGGTGGTGTGAAATTTGATTTAAATGCCTATTCTCTTTGTCTACCAGTCATGTAGACAATGGATTAAGTTAGAATAAAGATAAAACACAAAAAAAGTAGAAATCAAACTTGTAAGTGCCCAACATTAGTATGCTCATCTTAGTTTGTCACCTAGTGAGACCTTGGCCCAAAAAGTTCAAAATAGATCAAATATTCTGCAATTTATCATCCCTAATCCTCCTTTCATATTCCTTATACCTTCCAATCTTCATGCAAAAATATTTCAATGATCCTTGCAAAATCAGGAGTTCTTCCCATTTATTTCACTAACCGAAAGCAGAGGATTGAAATAATGTGTACATGGACCATGTACCATAAATTGTTGATGTGGCCAAGAAATAGTCACTTGGCCTATAAACCCGTGACATGTCTTCCTGCTGATGTGGCCATGAATTGCAGCATTTTACTATCATTAGTTTCATAATTTTTAAATTACTTAAAAATGGCTGAAAAAATGACTTCACAAATCTTATACAACATCTAAGATAAATCTATTTTTTTTATTTTGACTTTAGGATTAATTTATTGTCAATTTTAAAACATTTCTCAAGATTATAAACCTTATATCATCATCTTAGCACATGGATTAAAATTCATAAATATATTCATATCACATAAATTATAAAAGTTATCAAATTAAGTAAATTCATCAATGATTCTCGAACTAGTATTAACATATTTTGAAATTACTAATTTATATTTTACATCTATAGTTGCCAGATGTTGAAGTCGAGCATTTGATTATAAAACTTTATTAATGACGTTGAATTTATTGATAGGGGAAACATGCAGCTCTCACCTCAGCTAACAGGACGAGCGGCGTTGTCTTCAGCTGTCAGGACAGGCTGTGCTCCCTGCATAGTCAGCAGGACAGGCTGTGGTCCCTCCTGCAGGACTGGTAGTACTCCTTCCTCATTCAGACTAGCAGCGCTCCTTCCTCAACCAGCACACAGCCTCTTTCTCCCGTCCACCTCTCTATAACACACGTTCTCCCTTTTAGGGTCTTACAAAGGACAGAGGACCTCGTTTTAAATTGGCCCGAAAGGACCCTCTCGGACGGCCCAGGTTTGGAGAAAGTGGACACGCCCAATAAGGGCAATCGGTGGCCCATTTCTACGAGTACTGGTCCGCACAAATAGGCTACCATTTGCCCCTGGGCCGTCCGGAATGGCCCGGTTGTCACCTCCGTCTGGCGCGTGAGATATGACCCACATACGACAAGAGTTAGAGAATGCGAGAGAGAGAGAGAGAGAGGGGGAGGGGACGTGAAGATATTTTCTTATCACCCATTCAATAGCTGACCATTTTTTAGTGGGCTGAAGACAGCAGCGGAGAGAGCGTTTCCCCTTTCATACAGCAGGAGAGAGGAGACTGAGTTATGCCACTTATCTGCCAATAATATTTCATTTCCATTAGTTAGTCAATTTTAATTGGAATTTCAGAATTAATCTGAAACTCGCCGATACAAAATTAAACTTGCAGTCGTAAATATGGCTCCATTATTTATTAATGTTTATAGAACTCCGATGCAAATTTAATGGTGTTAGTAGCAACTTCTTCACACTCCATAGCTGAAAATTAGGTTTTGTGGGACGGCGCCAATCGTCTCTCTCCCAGGCTTGGTTGGAACCGGCGAACAGGAGACCTGTGCACCATTTCAATTGGCGGAGCCTTCTGAGCTACCTTCCTTGTCATGACCAGCGGATCGCGGCCGCGATTCTCGTTGCGGTTCTAAGTCATGCTCTTAGAATTCTCCTCGCAGTTGATCTCTTGCTTCACCCGTCACCGTTTAGGTCTCCGACGGCGGCGCGGGATCAACCTCCCAATTTTAGGGTGTATAGAGGTTGTGCCCGCTCGGTTGCTCCAGGACGAGAGAGAACCCGAAACGCCGACTGTTTCTCCTTCTGGTGCACCCGCGTAATATACGCAAGATTGGTGCGTTGTGGCGAACAGAGACATTGCTGTCAATCTTATGGGGCCCGAGCTTTGCGTCAAGAAGGGCGGGCAACCTCGATCTGCTCAAGAAGGCCGCGAGCGCAAGGTGGAAGATGGACATGGCATCCAGATGGGAAGTGGTGGCGCTGGTGCTGCTGGAAACGGGCAACCTAGTTGTCAAGAAGGTAAGAGAGGAGACGGTGTGGGAGAGCATTGCCGCACCGCCCGGCACCATCCTCCCTCAACAGTTGGTAAGGAGTGTTGTTTCCTGACGTATTTAACTAGTTTTCTGTTCAAGATCCTTCTCTGGGAGACGCTACAACAGACTGATCACACCGAAAACACGCGTCCCCATTCATTCAAGGCCCATTATTGGAGCCGGTCGCTAAACCGATCTCAGATTGCCTTTTCGATTGCAAAGGGCAGGAAGGATGTCTAGCTCGCAGCTGTTAAATTCTTTACGCCAGAGAACCGTGCGAAGACTCGTCGTCCGGCGAGAGGTCGCCGTGAAGAAGCCCCACGACGGTGCTCATGGCCGGCCTCTCATCCTTGTTGGTCCTCACGCAGAGCAAGGCGACCCGGAGCACGAGCTCCGCCTGCACCTCGTCGTATCCCCCGTTGAGTCCTTCGTCGACCATCTGGTCCATCCCATGTAGCCCCTCCATCTTCTCCTCCACCCAGCGGATCAAGTGGTTCCACTGCCCCTCCGAGACGCCGGTCGCGCTCTTCCCGGTGACCAGCTCTAGCAGAACCACACCGAAGCTGTACACGTCCGCCTTAGCAGTGATCTCTTGGTTCACCATCCACTCCGGGGCCATGTACCCTCTCGTTCCCCTCGCCCTGGAGACCTCGCACTTCCCACGGGGACCGCTACCCCCAGCGGCGCCCCTCTCTGTAAGCTTGGACATTCCGAAATCAGCCAGCTTGGGCCTGTACTGCTCATCCAGGAGGATGTTCTGGGGTTTCACATCACAGTGAAGGACCCACTCCAGGCACTCTTCATGCAGGTAGGCGAGGCCCATCGCCGTCCCCACCGCAACGGCGTACCTCTTCTCCCAGTTCAATACCTTGGTGGCGTCGGAGGCGAAGAGCAGCCTGTCGAGAGATCCGTTCTCCAGGTACTCGTACACCAGGAGACGATGCTTGCCCTCGGCGCAGAACCCCCACACTCTCACCAGGTTCATGTGGTTGATCCTCCCGATGACTGCGACCTCCGCCCAGAACTCAGCCTCCCCTTGTGTGACCCCTTCGAGCCTTTTTACAGCCACCGGCGTCTTGCCGTCTTCCAGCAGGCCTCTGTAGACCGATCCGAAGCCTCCTCTCCCAATTTCCTCGCTGAAGTTCATCGTCATCGCCTTGAGTTCCGCGTAGGTGAACCGCCGGAATCCAATTGCAAGTTGGAATCTGTGGCCCATCTCCGCCGGACCCAGGCTCCGGTGGATCCTCCTGATGAATATCCAACCCAGGATTATTATGACCGCCTCCACTGCGCCGAGAGCCCCGACGAATCCGACCAAGTATTTCAGGTAGGGGCTCTTGGCACCGTCCGGACGACGTTTCCCGCTGGAAATACGGACCAATTGGTTCGAGCATGTCAGCCCGGACTGTATCAGTGCCCCACCATCTTTTTTTCTGACGCCCGTCGACGCAGGCACCTTGATGTACAACCTGTTTGAGTTACTAGGCGTCCGCTGGCCATTAAGAAGGGCGTACTTGGGGTAACACTTCTTCCCCCGGATGCCAAAACCCTGGCATCTGGGATCATCCCGGCAGGCCGTTCTGCAACTATTCAAGGTAGCGTTATTTCTGTACTCGAGGTCGTTTCCGTAGTAATCTGTGTGACGAAACTTTATGAAGTCGACGCTTCCCATCGCGCTGGTCAGATTAAACTCCGGCCGACAGCCTCTGGACCAGTCCTCCGGGTCGGCTCGGTGGAAACCTGGCGGGCATGTGCACATCGGCTCCGGCAAGTACGTGCAGATGCCGTACGCCCCGCACAGGCCGTGAACCTCGCACACCCCAATATCCGGCAACCACACCGCCGCCCAATCCCCCGTTGACTCGTTCAGACTGTACAACCTGAGGAGGCCGTCGTGGTCAAGTGTTAACCGGCGACTAGGTCCGGGCCCGTAATCCGACGACGAGAAGTTTAGATGGTCGCTGGATAGGAAGAAACCCTTGTCGTCGAGAATTGCCACTCTACTGCTGTTGAAGTTGGTCCTTCCTTGGTTATAAATCGTGGTGTCCTGCGGAGGCCAGTAGACGCTGGAGATTTCGGGGCCATTGTAGATGAGGTAGAGAACATTGTCGTCGTTAAATTTGAAGTTGTAGAAACCCGAACGATAGTCCCCGGCGGCTCTTTCTGACAACAGCATAGTGTTCCTTGTGAGCTTCTGGCCAGGGAGGAGGGTGTCGGTGGGTGAGGCGAAGCTCTGCCAGACCACATTGCCAGTTCGGTTGGTGAGAACCAGGTTGCCTGTCTCCAGCAGCTCCAGGGAAATCACGTCCCACCCCAACCCTGCGCCCGCCTCCCACACTTTCCCCTCGCCGCCGCTCAACAAGACGAGGCTGCCGTCGTTGTGGAGCCACAGCTTGGAGTGCTTGCCGTTGGCCGGCTTATCTCTGTTCGCCATCCACACTACCGTCTTTTGCAGGGCGTGGGTGTACCAGATGGAGAAGCCGTAAGCATTCTCGCCGACGGGGACGAAGCCGGCGGAGAAGGTCCCCCCAGCCGAGACCAACACGTCGCCTGGTCTCTCAACGGAGATAGACTCCCCGAGGGTTAGTCTCTGCAACCCCGACAGAGACGACGACGTTACAAGAAGAGCGCCAGCGAGGAGGGCGTGAAGACCAAAAGCTAGGAAAATCCCCATGACAAGCGCACATACAATGTCTGTCTCGGAGGAGGAAGAAGGGTGCGCGAAGGGTAGCGTTCTGCCTGGCCGCGTTTCCCATCTTATAGCTCAGCGCGACGACCTGAGGGAAACCTTTTCCATTTTGTCACAATTACGTTCTCTATTATCGGGTTAAGCATGGGAGACTTGCTGTTGAGAGCGTTCCCCCTTCCTTACGGCATCAGAATGGCCCGATTTGTCCTCAGGCGGCGCTAGGCCATGTGAGGACAGCTGGGCATTAGAACACCGCACATCACCGTACGCAAGATGTACCCCTAAAACTTTAAAATGGAGAATAATTTCGAGAAATAGAAGATTAACTCAAGTCACAATTGTGGCGGACAATAGTTCAAGAATAAAAATTCCTGATGGGTCAAGTCAACGTAGATAATGACGGGAACAAACACCCGGCCAAATTTTTCTCTCTCCCTGGGGTCCGCAAATGACCGATGCAGACTTGGGGTCAAGTCATCGCCGACGTAGCAACGGCTGCTTAGCAATTGTAAGTCTCCGACGCTATCTCGTGGGAAAGCCCACCACACAAAGTGATGGGGAACGAAGAAGCGGGCAACACCTTCAGATCGTCAGCATGTCGCCTGCTCTCTCAAGGGAGATAGACTCCCCGGGGTTTAGTCTCCGCAACCCCGGCAGAGAGGACGACGATGTCGCAGGCGACGGCGGCACAAGAATAGCGAGGAGGGCGTGAAGACCAAAAGCTAGGAAAATCCTCATGACGAGCTCACAGACAATGTGCGTCTCGGAGGAAGAAGGGTGCGGGAAGGGTATCGTTCTGCCTGGCCGCGTTTCCGATTTTATCGCTCAGCCGCGACGGGCTGAGGGGAAAGTTTTCCATTTTGTCACCATTACAAGATGCGTTATCGGGCTAAGCAAGGAAGACTTGCTTAAACCTTGCTTTTCAGGTTAAGCATGTGTTGAGAGCGTTCCCCCGTCCTTACGGCATCAGAATGGCCCGATTTGTCCTCAGGCGGAACCAGGCCATGTAGGGACAGCCGGGCATTATATTAAACTTGTGTTCGCTTGTTGCAGGTTATAATTACATTCAGGAAATGGCTCAAATGATTAAGTATTTAATTGGGGACAGAAAATAGTATGGTCCTGAGGTTCAAGTGAAATTTTCATTATTATGCACAGTTAATAACTGATTTTTAATGAAGTCATGAACATTAAAAAATAAATACTTTGTTTAAAGTGAAACAATTAAATATTTAGTCCCCAATAAAAATTATTTATAGATTATTGAATTCAGGTCGATTAAACATTCGAATCTAGTGATCAGAAAGTAAAGATTTCAATAGAAACAAAAAGTGTACTATTGAACAGTATCTCTCCAATGCTTGTCTATATCCTCATTTCTGAATATAGCTATGTTGACCTGTTAAACTGTTCACGTTAGATATTGTAATTTATGTATAGATTATCTGATACACACCAACTTATGCCAAAAATTCTCAATAAAATGTGTAAAGGACTATTTTTTGACGCCTCCATGATAGAGTGATACTTCAATCTCTAAATGAGATCCATCTGCATTAGTGTGAAAATTATAAAAGAAAACATATGTGACACATCAAATATACGCAGGAGAAAACATTTATGACACATCAAATATTATTCTGGCATTTCAACAGATGTGGCCAATCTCGATCTGAGTCTAAGAACACAAAGTAACTCAACTCGTTGTAGTTAGTACAATTATGGTGCATCTATCCATCTAAAAAACTGACATGAAAGGTTTTGAAAACGGTTTTGGCCAGGACCAAGTACACTTCTAGAAATGCCTTGCTAAATTTTTAGGTTTGCGTTTCTGACTGTTCACTACCAAAGTAAAATAAAGGCATAAAAGTTCGAATATCTTAAAAAAGCATAGTATAAATTAGTTAGATGCAACAATTATAATGAAACTCGATATCATAACTTTAGTGAAAAACCTAAGAAATCAGTTGATTAATATTTGTATCAATTTTAGAATATTTTTTATTGATTGGATGGAATGGATAGAAACATATTTATATTATGACGTACATACATGCTCAATCATCACCTATCATTGTTTGACCATTTATGTTGGTCTGTCTCATGAAAGCCTAATTAAACATTTAAAAATGATAGAATAGGATCTCTGACTTCCCCTTTAAGTTTGTAGTAGCTAGCATCAGTTAATGCTGCGTTATCAATTAAATTTAGTAACTAATGTGAAAGGAATGTTATTGGCTGAAAATAGCATAAACTCAGTTTTCCCTCCCCTGCTGACTGCGGACTCGTCCCACGGAACACGGCGGCGACTATGCCGGCGCCAACCGCCCGTCTCCCAGTCTTAGTTTGAAACCGACTATTAGGAGCGCTGGACACCATTGAATGGGTGGAAGATTTCTGGACTGCCTTCCTCGTCCTGCCCAGCGAATCAGCGCGGCCGTCATCGAGCGAGCTTAGACTTCCATTCGGCTGACCACGGGAGGCGACAAACCTCGGACAGTCGCTGGTCCATGCCGTCCTCTTCAAGCCTTCTAGGTTCGACGAGTAAAACGGTGCGTGGGAGATCATCTGGTTCCCCGACGTTGGTCCCTTGACATCGCTCCTGTGAACTCTCGGGAAAAGTTACGTTTTAGTTATGCAATGTAGTCCATCGGAAGTTGGTGGGGATCTGTGGCAATCCGCCGAGAGACGGATTTAGAATCGAGTCTAGACCAGAGTCTGCGAAACACGATTAATCTCTCCAGCCAGTCAGGCGCAAATAATTGCTCCGTTCAAGACCGATCTCTGCCTGGGGATACAACAGACTGATAACGCCAAGAAGATGCGCCCGATCGGTGCAAGGCCAATTCATTGAGCTGACATCAGAAGGGACTTCAGATATGTTGGAGGTTTCCTGGAGAGAAGATCTCTATCCAGCTGGTTAAACTCCTAACGCCGTGGAACCCTGCGAAGACTCGTCGTCCGGCGAGAGGTCGCCAATAAAAACCCCACAACGGTACTCATGGCTGGCCTCTCATCCTTATCGGTCCTCACGCAGAGCAAGGCGACCCGGAGCACGAGGTCCGCCTGCTCCTCGTCATAGTCCCCATTGAGCCTCTCGTCGATCAGCTTGTCAATCCCACGTCGCCCCTCCATCTTCTCCTCCACCCAACGGATCAGGTGATGGGATTGCCCCTCCGAGACGCCGGTCAAGCTCGCAGAACCATGCCGAAGCTGTCTACGTCCGCCTTGACCGTGATCTCCTGGTTCACCATCCACTCCGAGGTCATGTACCCTCTCGTCCCCCTCGCCATGGAGACCTCGCACTTCCCACAGCGGCTGAAGCCGCCGCCGCGGGCGCCCCTCTCTATGAGTTTGGACATTCCGAAATCGGCCAGCGTGGGCCTGTACTCCTCGTCCAGGAGGATGTTCTGGGGCTTCACGTCGCAGTGCAGGACCCACTCCAGGCATTCCTCGTGCAGGTAGGCGAGGCCCATCGCCGTCCTCACCGCAACGGCGTACCTCTTCTCCCAGGTCGAAGGCGAAGAGGAGCTTGTCGAGGGACCCGTTCTCCAGGTACTCGTACACAAGGAGGCGGTTCTTGCTCTCGGCGCAGAATCCCCACTCTGACCAGGTTCATGTGGTGATCCTCCCGATGACTGCGACCTTCGCCCAGAACTCGGCCTCCCCTTGTGTGACCCTTCAAGCCTTTTTACGGCCATCGCCGTTTTGCCGTCTTCCAGAAGGCCTCTGTACACCGACCCGAAGCCTCCCCTGCCGATTTCCTCGTTGAAGTTCCTTGTCATCGCCTTGAGTTCCGCGTAGGTGAACCGCCGGAATCCAACTTCAAGTTGAAACCTGTGGCCGTTCTCCGCCGGACCCAGGTTCCGATGGATCCTCCTGATAAACCTCCAACCCAGGATTATCATGATGGCCTCCACCGCGCCGAGAGCCCCGACAAATCCGACCAAATACTTCAGGTAAGGGCTCTTGGAACCGTCACGATGGAGTTTCCCAATGGAAGTCGGGACCAATCGGTCTGAGCATGCCAGCCCCGACTGTATCAGTGCCCCACCATCTGCTTCCCTGACGGCCATCGACGTTGGGACCTTGATGTACATCCTGACTAGGATCCTCGGCGTCCGATGGCCACTGAGCAGGGCGTATTCAGGGTAACAGATCTTCCGGTGGAAGCCAAAACCCTGGCAACTGCAATCTTTCCGGCAGACTCTTCTGCAGCTACTTAAAGTGGCGTTGTCACTGTAGGAATCAAGGTCGTTTCGGTAGTAATATGTGTGACGAAGCTCTATGAAGTCGACGCTTCCCGTTGCGCTGGTCAGATTAATCTCCGGCCGACAGCCTCTGGACCAGTCCTCGGGGTCTGCCCAGCTGAACCCTGGCAGGCACGTGCACATCGGCTCCGGCAAGTACGTGCAGATGCCGTACCTCCCGCACAGGCCGTGAACCTCGCACACCCCAATAGCCGCCAACCACACCGCCGCCCAATCCCCCGTTGTCTCGTTCAGACTGTACAGCCTGAGGAGGCCGTCGTGGTCAAGTGTTAACCTGCGACTAGGTCCGCGCCCTTAATCCGACGACGAGAAGTTTAGATGATCGCTGGATAGGAAGAAACCCTTGTCGTCGAGAGTTGCCACTCTACTGCTGTTGAAGTTGGTCCTTCCTTGGCTGTAAAGCGTGGTGTCCTGCCGAGGCCAGTAGACGCTGGAGATTTCGGGGCCATTGTAGATGTGTAGAGAACATTGTCGTCGTTAAATTTGAAGTTGTAGAAACCCGAACGATAGTCCCCGGCGGCTCTTTCTGACAACAGCATAGTGTTCCTTGTGAGCTTCTGGCCGGGGAGGAGGGTGTCGGTGGGTGAGGCGAAGCTCTCCCACAGGATCTTCCCCGTCCGGCTCTTGAGAACAAGGTTGCCCGTCTCCAGCAGCTCCAGGGTCATCACATCCCATCTCGTCCCTGTGGCCGCCTCCCACACCTTTCCCACGGCACCACTCAACAAGACGAGGTTCCCGTCGCTCTGGAGCTGGAGCATGGAGCCCTTGCCGTTGGCCGGCTTATCTCTGTTCGCCATCCACACTACCGTCTTTTGCAGGGCGTGGGTGTACCAGATGGAGAAGCCGTAAGCGTTCTCGCCGACGGGGACGAAGCCGGCGGAGAAGGTCCCCTCAGCCGAGACCAACACGTCGCGTGGTCTCCCAACGGAGATAGACTCCCCGATGGTTAGTCTCCACAACCCCGGCAGAGACGACGACGTTACAAGAAGAGCGCCAGCGAGGAGGGCGTGAAGACCAAAAGCTAGGAAAATCCCCATGACGAGCATACAGTTCGGAGGAAGATGAAGGGCGCGCCAAGGGTAGCGTTCTGCCAAAGTTCGGCCGTGCTTCCCATTTAATAGCTCCACTGGGACATCCTAAGGGGAACCCTCTCTACTTTCTCACCATTACGTGCTCTGCTATCGGATCAAGAAAGGCTGACATGGACCTTCAAGAACTACTCACATTAAGCACGATGACTCCCCAAATCCTGAACGAGGAAGATAATTAGATTAAAGCCTTCATATCATTATCAAAATAAGCATCAACAAAGCTCGATTGACTAGCTAGAAAATTGAACGTATTGATGTGATCTGTAACATATGTATCTTACATTAGCTTCAAAATAAAAAACTGTTGCATCAAAAGACATTATTTGTTACTGATTATTTTTCAATTATGATTTTAAATGCAGTATTACTATCTACTGTCAAAAGAATCAATCAGAGGGCATGCTTATCCAGAAACTGAGCTTTTATTGTAACAAACCCACTTTCAAACTGAGCGAGGTCTGATAGAGTTTAGATTTAGTAGACATACTCAAACAAAAATGTCCTAAAAATGGAGGCATTGATATCAATTGTTAAGAGAAACTTCTCCTTTTATATAGCATGAAAAAATGAAAGCACAATAGATATAGAGTAAAGACAAAGACACTAGATTCCCATAGTCCTGAGGATCCTCCTATGTCTATGATTCCACAACCCCTTGTTCTTCCTTGACATAGATAATTGCCCCATTTACTACAAGTGACAATACCCTCCCCCTTCCTCCTCTATTATATCAAAGGGTTAGGGTAGCTACATATAATAATGCTCCTATTATTGCTTCCAGGGGTGCTACCCCTCTTGTAACCTACCATATACTAGCCAGACACTTATCTTTGATCATTTTCTAAATAGTGAATATTAGTTCTTGAGCCTATAAAACAGCTAAAACCAGTTAATGTTGAAGATCAGTTGGTGCTATGATGATTGTGTTGTCAACTTATATGTTGGAATCTTTAATATCCTGATATTTTCGATAGTCAATTTTCAATCCTCCATCAAGTTACAAATAAAATGGTATTGTAGTTAAATATCTTTGTTTCTAGAAGAAAAGATAAGAAAACTTTTAAATCATACCATTTAATTTCAAGCCTTTATGATGCTGACATATTCCAATTTAGTGATAGAGAGAGTAATAATTTTGTAGTTATGAAAGTCAGTTCATTGTAGTGGCACTAAAGGTGTATGTGTATCAAGTGGTGTTTATCATGTCAACATCACCACCTAAATCAAAATCTACAATAGTTTTTTATTTAAAATTATTCCTCTAAAAGTATAGAGATACACTTGAGGTACCTCTCATGTACTGAAGAATCTATCAGTCAACTGCCTAATATTATTTTGTCATATTCTTCGAGAATATGGTCATAGCTCCCACTACATGAGTTATATCCAATATAATGCATACTGATGGAGCTCTTATCATTGTTTTAAGAGGTGATCAATTTTAATTTTTTTAAAAACCAAATCCGTAAAAAGAATGTTACTGATTGTTTATCTAAAATGCAGAGCAGATTTGGGTCGATCCATGAAGAAAGCTTGGTATAATGCAGTCCACGAATGCTTTATGAAGAATGTTTGAGTGAGGAGGAAAACACAAAAAAAAAAGAAGAGGAAAGTAAAATTAAAAGCTCATCCAAATTTTTCACAGATCCAAAATCAGAGCAAAATAACTCTTAGTGTCAATTCTCAACAACAAAAGAAATTAGTAAAGAATAGTATGAACTCAAAGGAATGACAAAGGTGAAAACACCTCTGCCAGCGGCCTAGCCACTGGCAGAGTACTAGACTTGTGTTTAAGAGAAAATCTTAGACTATATGAATAATCACGAAGAATACACAATTAGTGGGTTGAAATCCTGTAAGTGCTAGAAGCCTCACAAAATCCATCATTGTCAATAGGATTCGAGAAAAAGTAACACAGTACTAAACACCTGCAGAAATCAAAACACTAAATTTGAAGCTTTAGGTGTGAACATTGTTGTTGCTGTGCTCGACTCATCTCCTACCTGTCCGCAGTAGGCGAGCTCACAACCACCACTGCTGCTGCTGTCATGAGTGTATTGGTGTAATTGTTTCCATCACCGTCGTGCTCGACTCCTCCTCTGCCTGTCACGTAGAACGGGAGTTCGCAGCCACTGGTGATGTTGCTACGACTGTTCTCACCATTGGGAGTGCCACCGTTGCCGTGTTCGACTCCTCATCTGCATATCATGCAGAATGCGAGTTCACAGCCACTCCTAATGTCACCACCACTACTGATGTCACTGTTATTTGCAGTGCCACCATTGTGCTCAGTTCTGCTTGTCAAGCAGAATAGGAACTCACTACCACTATTGATATTATTGCTGCCGTCATCATCATGGCTGTCACTATTTCATATCCCTCTGCTCGTCACCCCTGTCCATCTTCTCTTCCTGAGGCCTACTTCATGTCAATCGCCCCCTTTCTCTCTCTTCTCTCTCCCTTTAAATACCTCCCATTATAATAGGCCGATATGAGGCCTAATAGTAGGCCTTCTATAATTGGTCAGTTGGTCAACTCACTATTCACTCAAAAAATTATAAGAAAATCATTGGAAATTTAAACTACCCTTCTTCTAGTTTCCCTACATGTAAATACAATATTTCTATCTATTATAGTAGAATTAGCATTACATAAAAGACTTTGATTTAATAAAATATGGATGCTGCAAAATATGTATGATTTAATACTTTTTACATGTATTGTCGTAAATAATTTAAAATCATATGGAAATAAGTTTACATAAAATGTGTGCTCTTATTAAGACATTTATGTTGTAATCATGTCAAATATGCATATCCTATCATGTAATAATGAGGCTTTATCACATACCATAGTATATTTTCTTAGGTGATTGATCTTTTAAGAGATTAATGTGACAAACTAAATGTGTACTCACAAACTTGTCATCTACATATTCAATCTTCCAAGTTTCTTTTCCATGTAATTCTTGAGAAAATGTCAAAAAAAAGCAACTTTGTCACATGTTGTGCTCTTAAGAATTTACTTTGGTATATGTCTTTCATTCAAAATTTCTTTGTTATTTATCTTTTAGCTTATTGATTACAAGCATGTTGGCTCTTACAATTAGCATATTATTGACATTAAATAATAAGATGATGTAGCAACTCAACCTCCATCAAATAACAATAGTTGTCTATTTGACATCCCATAAAGTCATTTCTAGTCATTTCTAGTCATTAAACCATATAAATTTTTATATAACTATCTCAGTGCATCCTTCAGCCCATAGAGACCTTCTTCAATCTGCACACTTGATTTTTCTTTACAACAAAGAAAAGCTCTTCAAGTTACATGAACAAAATGCTCTTTCTAACTCATTGCAAAGGAAAACTATCTTGACATTACATTACCTTAAGTGAAAATCATATGCAACAACAATACTTGATATCAATTTAACTATGCTTACCACTGTAATAGGAGAGAAAAATTATGTAAGTAACACCTTATTTCTGTCAAAAATCATTTACAACAAGTCTTGTATTGTACTTTTTGATGCCAATATGTTGTCCTTTGATTATGTACAATGCTCATTTTTTGTGAGGTGATTACCTCTTTGTTAGATTTATGTACTCACTATGAACCAATATTTGATCATTCTCCACATACCTCCAACAGCACCACTCAAACAACAAAAAAGATGATGTTCTAGCTAAAGAACAAAGAGAAGCCAGTCAAGAGTATTGCCTTTAACATTTGCCTCAACAAGGATGTTGCTCTAGTTCTGCTTAGTGATGGTGAGGATAAGGTGTGAGAGACATATACTGCATCCTAAAGGGAGGCAAAAAGCCTTGGAGCTTCTGGAGATGGGCAACTGGGGACATGGTGTGACAAAGTTTCTGGCTTTGGAACTTTTGCCTCACCCACCTACAGCTTCCTCCTCAGCCAACAATTCACAATGAACACTGTCCTAGTGTCCAATAGAGACGACAAAACCCCCTATTAGGTTCTGTTGTGATAATGAGTAAAAGTTTGAAATAAACCAGAGTTTAGATAATCGAAGGAATCTGAAAAACAGACCTTTGATGCCAAGCGTACACTTGCAGCTATGCAGAAGATCCAATCACACCACAAATATATGTAATATCAAAATAGCAATGGGTTGATGCCATCTATATTCCTTATTATTGAGTTTTTGGAATACACTATAATCAAGAAGAGGGGGTTGAATTGATTTTAACATGTCATCGTCTTCTAATTTATTTTGTAAGGAAATGACAAGATCTATTCTTGGAATGGACTTTTGATCATCTCTTTGCACTCAACTCTACAAGTCATAGAATTTTATAGTGGTCTGGGATAATATCTATGTTCACTCTCCAAGAACAACCATGATCTTGGGTTCTACTAAATTTGATTGTTTGATCACAACCGCTAATTAACTTCATCAGCTCCCACAAAGTTTCACTAGAAACTCGATTTTAGATTCACAACTCTAGAGGGATCTCTGCTATTCAATGAGACAGCTTCTTAAATAAAACTAAAATCTCACATTAGTTCCCACAATAAACTTGAAAAGATTTTATTGTCTCTCTTCTTCTAAAAGTAGGTTGGACTTTAATATTGTAGATATTCAATGAAGAGGAGAGGATGTGTTGTTGAATGAATGTTGCTCTCTTCTTGTTGGGATGCAAGTATTTAAAGTTCTTTTTACTTGTGCTTAGTCAATGAGGCTCATTCAATGCTGCATGGATTCCCTTGGTATTAATCACTTTGTATATGCTTGGACCTTGTGCTTGAATTTCATTTGATTTGTATTTTGAATCTATGCAGAAGAATGTTAGTGTACTAACAAGGGAGATTAATTAGAACAAAAATAGTCATTGTTTTCTTCCCATTAGAATATAGTGATCTTTATATATGTATCTTGATATAATAAATCTTCCTAGTTCTCTATAGGTTTTCAATGTCTATCTGTTCTTAAAATTAGATAAATTCAAAATCCTTATGTGAGACCAATACAACATATCTATATCATTAATAAAGTATCCTTGAGAGAGACCAATATGTCTATCCTTTATCACTTAACATTAATATTTGATTCATACCATTTCTTACCATTTCACTTCTGATAGAGAAACATGACAGCGGCATTCTCAATATATTCTGACGTGGATAAAGTATAATTGTGAATAACAAGTTAGTTTTACAATAATTTGATATTTAATCATAATCAGATTATCTTGATTAGAATGAAATTCATAGGTTCTATTTGCAATCAACAACCTCAGCATTCATAGTTATAGGTATGATTATTCAATATGCTTAGTTGTAAACTATGATTTGTTACTCTCAAATGTTCAAAACATTATATTTATTGAAGATGGTTAGCAATGTTTATTTTTCAAAACACTACTGTCAGATGAAACACAAAAAAAATTTATTACACAGACATAATAAACTATAATACACATGTACTCATGTTTTATACTTTGTTGTTTCATTCATGCTAGTGACTTCATCATCATTACTAACACAATAGATTCTACATGAAAGATTCACATGCACATGTATACTGATTTATTTATAATTCAATCTTATTCTAATCTATTTGCCATCCTTAGAATATTACTAATATGAAACTCCAACACTTATAATATGAATTTTTTTCAAAGAAGTGAAGCACTCAATATCACAATAATAGGCTGATGAAAAATTGATTCTATTCACCTCGGAGGTGAAACTCTTACATCCATCGTCAAATAGAAGAACAAGACAGAAAAAAATCAGAAATATTTGAAAGAGGGTGATCCTCCCAAACCTCCTTCCACCAGCTTGAAGACAAAGTTCTTTCTCAACAATAGAAAACCAAAGAGGAGTAGACATGCGTGACTCCTCCTTTCTTCAAGCCCTCGAACTCCACTTGAGGCAACTGTCTTCCATATCTACAAAGTTTCAAAAATCCTTGTTTTTCAGATGCCTCTTCTCTATTCCTACAGCTATTACTTCTCCTAAAAACAGGCTTGAAAAAAGGCACTTTATCTTATCCAGCTAGATGGGCCCTTTACTCTGGCCCATTATGATTGATTTTGGGCTGGTAAAAAATAACAGGGTTCCTACAGCTTCACATTTAAAGATGACAATATGCTCTACCTCATCTGCATTGACCCTGAAGTTTCCAGCACCTACTGGTCGCTGAAAGATCCAAGCTTATACTCCCAAGCAAGAACCAACTTCAACAGCACTAGATATGCAGCAATCTACGACATGAGAGCTTTCTCAACCAGTTACATGTTTCACTTCAACTCGTTGGACTATGAGAGGGCCGCGTCGCCGCCTAACACTGGATCATGACGGCCTCTTCGGAATATGAAGCCTGCAAGAGCCAAACAAAGAATAGGAGCTCGTCTGGCTGCTCGACAGTGGGGTCTGCCGGGAATTCGGTCGAGAAGACCCGTCGGCCTGGGCTAGAGGCTGCGTGCCAGAGTTTGATCCGACCTGCGATCACCCAAACGTTGACTTCCTATAATTTCCTCAGACAGATTACCACGACTACGACCTCGATACATATCCGGAAGGCGTATCCATGGAAAATTGCAGTTAGACATCCCGGAAAGATTGCAGCTGCAAGGGGTTTGGACTCCGAGTTGGTATATGCTATCCCAAGCTTGGTGTTCTCCGTTCCGGTGGCACCACTCTGAGCGGGCATGGAGCTGATCCGAAGAGGAGAACCCCGGGAAAGATTAAGCTGGTCAGGATGGATTAAAGCCTTAACCCTAATAATTGGACACATCAGCAGCGAAATCCATGCACTGAGGATCTTCCCTCATGACGCCGTCCAACCCGCGCAGGACATCGCAGACGAACGCCGCCTCTGGGTGGCAGCTGTCCTGGGCTGCGAAGCTGTGGAGACGGCCACCGGAGTGGAGGGAGCTCTCGCCGGAGGCCTTCCTCGCACCTTGCCATCTCATGGCGGCCCGCACCGCCGCCACGTCGTCCCACCGCCCCCTGGAGGCGTAGGCGTTAGCCAGCGGCACGTACGAAGCCGCCGCCCTAGGCTTCATCTCGCGGAGCCGACGGGCGGCGTGCTCGCCGAGTTCGACCTCGCGGTGGGCGCTGCAGGCGCCGAGCAGGGCCCCCCACACTCCGGCGTCGGGCTCCAGGGGCATCGACCGGACGAAGCTCAGGGCGTCCTTCAGCCGGCCCCTCCGCCCGAGCAGATCTACGACGCACGCGTAGTGCTCCAAACGTGGGGCCAGTTTGAAGACCTCGGCCATCATGGCGAAGTACTCACAACCCTCCCTGAGGAGGCCGCCATGGGCGCAAGCTTGGAGGACGGCCAGGAATGTGACGCAGTTCGGCGGCTCTCCCGAGCCTGCCATGCGGTGGAAAAGATCGAGGGCCTCGCAGAAGGACCCATTTAGGGCGTACCCGGAGATCATCGTCGTCCAGGAGACCACGGTTCTGTGGGGCATCTCGTCGAACAGGCTTCGAGCCTCCGCGGTACAGCCGCACTTCATGTACATATCCATGAGGGCATTGCGGACGACGACCCCACTGTCGAGCCCATTGACGAAGGCGTATCCGTTCATCGACCGTCCGAGATCGAGGGCGCCCGAGCAGCCACAGGCGGAAAGGATGGCGGCGACGGCGAACCCGTCGGGCTTCTCTCCGGAGGCCTCCATGGCGTGGAACAGCTCCAGGGCTCTTGGGACGGCGCCTCTCGAAGCGTACCCGTCGATCATCGTCGACCAGGAAACGGGGGTCCTTTCCGGCATGCCATCGAAGCAGCGCCGAGCGGCGCCGACGTCGTCGCACTTGGAGTAGAGAGAGATGAGGGCATTCCCCACGGTTGAGTCCGAATCCAAGCCTCCTCTGATGGCAAGAGAGTGCACCTTCTCACCTTCCGAAAGAGCCGTCGACAGCGCCCAGGCAGACAGCAAGCTCACGGCAGCGCAGGCTTCCGGCGGGCCCCCGTGCCAGCGTCGCATCTCCCCGAAACAGGCGGCGGCGTCGGCCGGTCTCCCGTGACGAGCATAACCAGCTATCATTGAGTTCCACGAGACGACGGTCCGGTCGCCGGTGGAGATCTCGCTGAAGGCCGACTCCGCCGCGCCAAGGTCCCCGCACTTAGAGTAGGAGGAAATCAAGGTGTTGGCCACGGAGACGTCACCGGCGGCTCCCGCCCGAATCGCGAGCCCGTGGGCACATCTCGCCCCCGTCAAGCTCTCCTCCGCCGCGCAAGCCTGAGCCAAGGGCACGAACGTGATGGAATCTGGCGCTAGTCCTTCCAGCCTCATCACTCGGAAAAAACCCAGTGTTCTAGAGAGAGAACCCAGCTGAGAGAATCCCATCAGCATCACATTCCAGGCTGCGACGTCTCTCTCAGGCATCGCTTCGAACACGGCGGCAGCGGAATCCAGCCGCCCGTGTTTCAGGTACATGTCCATCAGCGCCGTCTGAACGAAGACGTCGGAGCAGAAGGGGGACTTGACCACGTGCCCGTGCACGGCCCGGGCACAGATGTCGTCGGCGACCTTCGCGCAGGCCTTGACGACGAAGGGGAAGGTTAACCAGTCGGGCCGGAGGCCGGCGCGGCGCATCTGGTTGTAGAGTCGAAGGCCCCCATCGAAGCACCCCCGATCCACGGCCTCCTTGATACCGGAGTTCCAGGCGGCGACGGCCGGGGAATCCGAAATTCGGCTCCAGAGGACCCGCGAAGTGGCAGAGTAGCTCATCCCCTCTGCCGCATGTCGCCCCCTACCCCTCCCCCCGGCCCGTCCCCCCAGAAGTTCTAGAGGCCACTGTCTGACAGAGGTTGGGATTGTACGCCAGCCGCTGGCGACGAGACAGAGTTGGGCCGAGATGGGCGTCTCGTTCCCCAGGATTCTAGCATTCCACTGAAAACTTCTTGACGGACCTTAAAACAGGTGATTAATAAAACTGCGGCCTTTAAGGAAACATTTTTATTTAATGAGAATGACAACGAGAAAAGGATACCAATGGAAGAGTATTTTTTTTTTAATCAGTGGCTGTCTAACTAAATAGTGAAATAACTTGAATTTCATGGTTATAAGTGTTCATGTGGAATTACTTAGAGCGACATATTAACTTTTATTTTTGTTTTTAAATATGAATTCTTTGTATTTCTAAAAGCATTTTTTATGAATAAACACGAATAAATCTTTTGAAGGGAAACAATCAGGAAGCCTCACTTATTTTAAATTTCCTTTTCCTTTCCATCAGTTAGGAGAATTATTTTCATAAAGGTTCATCACTCGCTCTAAATATAATATATATTTGCAAGATCAAAATATTATTATTTTCATGTTTCATAAACAAATGCATGTTCATATTTCTTTTTAAAATCATTATCCAAAAGAAATAAAATTAATATGTTCCACAAAGTTCATAAGATATGAGCAACATCAAATCTTTCTGAAGCCCAAACTTCCATTTCTCCCACTCGTTGTGCCCGTCTTTTGCCCTTCCGCTAAGGGGTTGTTGTGTAACAAGCGTACAATGTCCAGTGGAACGTTCATGGATTGTATGTATCATCACATTGACGAATTAATTGAAGTATATAGAACTTTCCTATTAGGGCAGGATCTCTGGTTCTTCCATCAAATATTTAACTTTTTCCTGGGTATTCGGGTTCAAATACCCATGGATTTTTTCTTTGCTTACTAGCTTCATATAATTCTGAAAACACTGGTTTTCTCGAAGCCTCTTGCTCGTATCTGCCATCGAAAGGGGCTACTCTATAACATCTATTTTGAAATAAATCGCCCGTTAAGCTGAGTGAGCATTCAAATATCTGTCCCTCATTCATTCAAAGCCTCTTGCTCTTCAAAACCATATTAACCAGGCTCTTCAAGGGTTCAAAACCAATTTTTTCCTAGATAAGAATAAAAATTGGGAAATACTACCCATATTTCCATGTCCTCCTGCCACTTTATCGCCCACTTTGATTTCATGTTTCTGTGAAATATATTATACAAATCCATTACTTTACCCCTGTTTTTGTCTAAACTGGCAAATGAAATCAGTTTAGAAGCATCTCGCATCAATTACTTGACCCCTTCCATCTATAGATAATTTTTAGATAAGTTTCCTTTCCAGTGGAAACCTGAATATCAAGTACGGTCCGCCATAATCTATCCTCTGGGGCATTATGAGGATTCGTTCGCTATCTGAGGCGTTCATTTACCTACTAACATAGTACATGTTTCCACCCAAGATCCGAGCATAACGATTTCATTTCTGTCAAAACTGCGGAGTAAATAGGCCTCTAAATGAGGTTATTTAGTAATTCTTTCAGGGCCCTGACTCGTCATATGAGCTTTAATTTCATATTTTCTTATGTGAAAAGAGGTATAAATATCACCTAATACCAAATGCTCACTAATGGGTACCGCATCTTTAAAATCATTGCCTTCCCATGCCATATGAGCTGCTAATACATTTCTTCCCGAAGCGAGTTCTCAGCCAACGGAAGCCATCCCGTCGGCTAAAATTTTGTCTCGTTTTAATGTATTCACCCCATTGAACCTGAGCTTTTTGGTGCATACAACTGGAATATTAACAGTGTTTCCATTACCTGAGAAAACAATTTGGTGAGTATCAGTAGAAATGAGCTTTCCCTCGCGTTAGGCTATAACCGAAACTCCAGAATCTAAAGCCGCTTGGCGTTCCAGTCCGGTTCCTACAACGCACTTCTCAGACCGAGAAAACGGAACTGCTTGACGCTGCCTATTAGAACTCATTAGAACCTCTATTCGCATAATAGTGAGAGAACCTAGAATATAAAAAAATTGGAAGGGAAGAATGCTTCGAAGATGAACCATTCCCAGGCAATAGTCAGGAACTCTTGACAGTATTGAGCAGGAACAACCTGCTTGAATACCACGATTTAAGGCCAAAGAACTCCCTGCCGCTACCCTATAATATTATTCATCTCTTCTTGGCGATGGATAAACCATCTGTGCTTCTTTGCCTTTTTGATCTCTTGGAGATTTTATAAAATCTGAGGATGGATATCTCTAAGGATCCCCAATGACCAGTCCTTGGAGTTCAGTATTGATTCGATAAGTCCAGTATTGATTCCTTCGGAGGTGTCAATAGGGCAAATACGTCCGTAGTGACTAGAATGGATATCTCGTATCCAAAAACTTGGAGTTCACCCCTCAAGGACCTAAATACCTCAATTTTTGGCAATGAACAATGTGTCAATGGATTAGTTCCATCTAAAAGTTGAGATAGTAGGCTGACAAAATTATTCATGAGTGGTTGTTAATGAGGAGTTGGTTCAATATATGCCTAATTGCTCCAGATATAGTTCCTCAAACCGCATTTTCCAAATGAACAAGAGCCAGTCCGCATTGATCTTGCAACAGATCTGCTACAGAATGAACACGCTTATTTTTCAAGTGGTTCATACCCCTACACAAGCAAATTGTTGACAAAATTCTAGAATGGCATTTTTTTCTTGAGCTGATTTCTTTTTGTCTAATAAAAAATTAGTTTGTTAAATATACTATGGGGCTGTTTCAATATACTTTTTCTTTAACTAGTTAATAAAAAATATATTAATGGCATTCACTTGATATAGTTTAAGAGCTTCTACAAATGTAAATATAAGAACAATTATAATTACATTAAGTCTAGCTATTGGCACATAAGCTTCTTCATAGTCGATTCCTTCTTCTTGAACTTGATTCTGAATAGTCAATTTAATTTTATTTCTTATGACTACTACTTATTCATTTAATTTATTATTAAATATCTCTTTTTTATTAGAAAACATTTGAATATTGTAGTTACCAGAGTTAATATTTAATTAGAGAAATATATAATTTAAATAATTATTAAATTATGTTGTTACTATCTTTCCTATTTTATTTTCCTACTCACAAAACATACCATCAGCTTGTAGGTTTGTAATAACTGACTCCAATCTAATATTTTAGTAGAACAATTTTGACCCTTTCAACTACGCATATTAAAGAGTGTAACTTATAAATAGATTATCTACTATATATGAAGTTATATCAAAATACTACCAAAAAATGTAAAGAAGAATTTTTTATCCCTCTATTATATATTGATGCTTCATTTTCCAGAGAGGTTAGCTCTACAATAGTTAGTCACTATAAATAAATAAAATGAAGGAGAAAACATAGGTGACAACTAAGAAATGAAAGTTTGAAATATAATACATCTCACATGCTATATACATCCATAACAACATATGCACTTCGGCTAAAATGCAAATGATGTTAATTATTCTTTTCACACTTCACAAGATGTGGTCAAGCATGATATGAATTTAAGAACACAATGCGAATACACTGGAATCCATTTGCCTATAAACTGCTAGACTTTTAGGTTTTTGTCTCCGACCACTCACCATAGACTGAAGTGAACAGGATGTATCCAAGTCAGAATATTTTAAAATAAATCACACAACGAATGAGTTGCACGCTGCAATTATAGAGAGATTTTATAAAATAATTACAGAGAAAAAGATCTAACAAATCTGCTTGATTAATTTTAATATCAATTATGAAACATTATTTTAGTTATTGCACGGAATGGGCAATCTCGTTTATCAATACAAATGCCTTATTATCATCCATCAATGTGTCACCATTTGTGACGGTCCTTCTCATGAAAACCTTATTCAATATTAATAAATACTAGAATCAGATTCCCCTCAATCCGCTGTGAGCCAATATGTCCTCCGCTTGCTCTGTGTAGTAGGCTTGCACCATAGGTGGTGAACACCTAGGCTGATTCCTTTACTCGCCTTCCTCCTCTTCATGATTTGCGATTACTCATTTAATTCCGTATTAGCTAACATCAGTCTTATGCTGGGTATCAACTTTCATAGAGTAATTAATGGGAAAGCGATAGTATTGACTGAAAAATGGCATAAACTTAGTCTCCCCTCTCCTGCTGGCTGCGGACTTCGGCTCGCAGGACACGGCGACGACCACGCATCCGGCAATCGTCCGTCGCCCAGTCTTGGTTGGAACCGATGACCAGAAGTGGTGGACACCACCGAAAGCGAGCGAGCTTGCCGTTATCCCGTAAGAGAGTAGATATCCACTTGGAGGACACGTTTCCGTCTGACCTTGACCACGACGACCTCCTCAGGCCTTACAGCTTTGAAGGGTCAAACGGTGCGTCGTCAACCATCTGGTTCCCCATCTTTCGGGCCATGAATGTCTCTCGTGTGCATTTTCGCAGAAGATTACGTTTTGGCTATGCCATGAAGACCATCGGAAGTTTATGAGGATCTGAGACTAACGAAGAACGCGCTTAGAATCGAGTCTAATCGAAAGTCTGTGATACGCGATTCACCTCACCAGCCTGTCGGGTGCTGGCTAGTTTTCCCTTCAGATGATAACAACAAGAACATGCGACCCGACTCAGGCTTCAGATGCGTGCGGTTGCTCTGAGAGAAAATGTCTAACAAAGTGATTATTAACCGATTAAATAGGGCTGTTAATTCCTTCAAGCCGGAGAGCCCTGCGAAGACCAGTCGTCATCCTGCGAGAGGTCGCCGAGAAGAAGCCCCACGACGGTGCTCATGGCCGGCCTCTCATTCTTGTTGGTCCTCACGCAGAGCAAGGCGACCCGGAGCACGAGCTCCGCCTGCACCTCGTCGTATCCCCCGTTGAGTCCTTCGTCGACCATCTGGTCCATCCCATGTCGCCCCTCCATCTTCTCCTCCACCCAGCGGATCAAGTGGTTCCACTGCCCCTCCGAGACGCCGGTCGCGCTCTTCCCGGTGATCAGTTCCAGAAGAACGACACCGAAGCTGTACACGTCCGCCTTGGCTGTGATTTCCTGGTTTACCATCCACTCCGGGGCCATGTACCCTCTCGTCCCCCTCACCCTGGAGACCTCGCACTTCACCCGGCGGCTGCTACCGCCAGCAGCGGTGCCCCTCTCTGTGAGTTTGGACATTCCGAAATCGGCCAGCTTGGGCCTGTGCTGCTCGTCCAGGAGGATGTTCTGGGGCTTCACGTCGCAGTGCAGGACCCACTCCAGACATTCCTCGTGCAGGTAGGCGAGGCCCATCGCCGTCCCCACCGCGATGGCGTACCTCTTCTCCCAGTTCAACACCTTCGCGGCGTCGGAGGCGAAGAGGAGCTTGTCGAGGGACCCGTTCTCCAGGTACTCGTAGATCAGGAGGCGGTTCTTGCCCTCGGCGCAGAATCCCCACACTCTGACCAGGTTTATGTGGTTGATCCTCCCGATGACTGCGACCTCCGCCCAGAACTCGGCCTCCCCTTGTGTGACCCCTTCAAGCCTTTTTACCGCCACCGCCGTCCTGCCGTCTTCCAGCACGCCTCTGTAGACCGACCCGAAGCCTCCGTTCCCAATTTCCTTGCTGAAGTTCCTCGTCATCGCCTTGAGTTCCGCGTAGGTGAACCGCCGGAATCCGACAACCAGTTGGCACCTGTATCCCATCTCTGCTGGACCCAGGCTCCGGTGGGCTCTCCTAACGAACCTCCAACCTAGAATTATCATGATCGCCTCCAGCGCGCCGAGAGCCCCGACGAATCCGACCAAGTATTTCAGGTAGGGACTCCTTGAAATAGGGAGTGATCGGTCTGAGCATTGCAACCCGGAGTGTATCAGTGCCCCACCGTCTTCTTTTCTGACGCCCGTCGACGCAGGCACCTTGATGTACATCCTGTTTGTGTTACTAGGCGTCCGCTGGCCATTAAGAAGGGCGTACTTGGGGTAACAATTCTTCCCCCGGATGCCAAAACCCTGGCATCTGGGATCATCCCAGCAGGCCCTTCTGCAACTATTCAAGGTAGCGTTATTTCTGTACTCGAGGTCGTTTCCGTAGTAATCTGTGTGACGAAACCTTATGAAGTTGACGCTTCCCGTTGCGCAGGTCAGATTAAACTCCGGCCGACAGCCTCTGGACCAGTCCTCCGGGTCGGCTCGGTGGAAACCTGGCGGGCATGTGCACATCGGCTCCGGCAAGTACGTGCAGATGCCGTACGCCCCGCACAGGCCGTGAACCTCGCACACCTTAATATCCGGCAACCACACCGCCGCCCAATCCCCCGTTGTCTCGTTCAGACTGTACAACCTGAGGAGGCCGTCGTGGTCAAGTGTTAACCGGCGACTAGGTCCGGGCCCGTAATCCGACGACGAGAAGTTTAGATGGTCGCTGGATAGGAAGAAACCCTTGTCGTCGAGAGTTGCCACTCTACTGCTGTTGAAGTTGGTCCTTCCATTGGTATAAATCGCGGTGTCCTGCGGAGGCCAGTAGACGCTGGAGATTTCGGGGCCATTGTAGATGAGGTAGAGAACATTGTCGTCGTTAAATTTGAAGTTGTAGAAACCCGAACAATAGTCCCCGGCGGCTCTTTTTGACAACAGCATAGTGTTCCTTGTGAGCGTCTGGCCGGGGAGGAGGGTGTCGGTGGCTGAGGCGAAGCTCTCCCAGACCACATTGCCAGTTCGGCTGGTGAGAACCAGGTTGCCTGTCTCCAGCAGCTCCAGGGAAATCACGTCCCACCCCAACCCTGCGCCCGCCTCCCACACTTTCCCCTCGCCGCCGCTCAACAAGACGAGGCTGCCGTCGTTGTGGAGCCACAGCTTGGAGTGCTTGCCGTTGGCCGGCTTATCTCTGTTCGCCATCCACACTACCGTCTTTTGCAGGGCGTGGGTGTACCAGATGGAGAAGCCGTAAGCATTCTCGCCGACGGGGACGAAGCCGGCGGAGAAGGTCCCCCCAGCCGAGACCAACACGTCGCCTGGTCTCCCAACGGAGATAGACTCCCCGAGGGTTAGTCTCTGCAACCCCGGCAGAGACGACGACGTTACAAGAAGAGCACCAGCGAGGAGGGCGTGAAGACCAAAAGCTAGGAAAATCCCCATGACAAGCGCACATACAATGTCTGTCTCGGAGGAGGAAGAAGGGCGCGCGAAGGGTAGCGTTCTGCCTGGCCGCGTTTCCCATCTTATAGCTCAGCGCGACGGCCTGAGGGAAACCTTTTCCATTTTGTCACAATTACGTTCTCTATTATCGGGTTAAGCATGGGAAACTTGCTGTTGAGAGCGTTCCCCCTTCCTTACGGCATCAGAATGGCCCGATTTGTCCTCAGGCGGCGCTAGGCCATGTGAGGACAGCTGGGCATTAGAACACCGCACATCACTGTACGCAAGATGTACCCGTAAAACTTTAAAATGGAGAATAATTTCGAGAAATAGAAGATTAACTCAAGTCACAATTGTGGCGGACAATAGTTCAAGAATAAAAATTCCTGATGGGTCAAGTCAACGTAGATAATGACGGGAACAAACACCCGGCCAAATTTTCCTGTCTCCCTGGGGTCCGCAAATGACCGATGCAGACTTGGGGTCAAGTCATCGCCGACGTAGCAACGGCTGCTTAGCAATTGTAAGTCTCCCACACTTTCCCCTCGCCGCCGCCGAACAGGACGAGGTTGCCGTCGTTGTGGAGCCGCAGTCTGGAGCCCGTGCCGTTGGCCGGCTTATCTCTGTTCGCCATCCACACCACCGTCTTGGTTAGGGAGCGAGCGTACCAGACGCAGAAGCCGTAGGCGTTCTGGCCGACGTGGACGAAGCCGGCGGAGAAGGTCCCTCCGGGGGAGACCAACACGTCGCGTTTTCTCTTCACGGAGATCTACTCGCCGGGGGTTAGTCTCTGCAACCCCGGCGGAGACGACGACGCCCCCGGCGGAACAAGAAGAGCCCCAGCGAGGAGGGCATGAAGACCAAAAGCTCGGCGAATCCCCACGATGAGGACCCGAGCCATGTCTGGTTCGGAGGAAGAAAGGTGTGCCAAAGGCAACGGCAGTATTCTCAATTAATAGCTCAGCCGCGACGGCCTATCGGTGCTTCCCCCTTTCTTACGGCAACACAAAGGTCCGATTTTTTTCATCCGGCGGAGCGGAGCCATGCATATTCCCCACCTTTACCAAGAGAGCAGCGCACCCGGCTGTTAAAAGAAGAAAAGCTCTGTTAGGTCAGTGCAACGTAGATGACGACAGGAACCATAGCTTGTTATCTCCCGTCGTACGTCGAATCGGCAAGTCTTACATTTGTCTAGCACTGGAAGATTCTCGTCTCCCTGGGTCCCGCGAATGAGAGAACCACACTCGGACTATGGCCGTCACCAAGGTAAGAACGCCTGCACAGCAGAGATAAGACGTCACCAAGGCCTTTTGGCATCAGTAATATGATGGGTGTTGCCGTTGGTGCAAAATGACGATATATGAAATAACAAGAACCATTAATCTTCTTCCTCCATAGCCATGTGGATTCTTCTTCTCTCTACAGATCTCTTATTCATAATGTTTTTTTTTATATATAATAACTAAGGTAAAAATTAAAGTAACTCTCAAGTGAACCAATATAAAATATGAATTATCAAAGTTAAAATGTGTTAGCACTAGTTTGGGAATTATGTGATAAACTTGCATTTAATTGGGTAATTTTATAGCTTATGCAATATGATTACATATTCTTATCTTTAGTCAATGTACTACCATGATTATCAAAGGTTTTTAATTTGATAATTACTTTAAACTTGATAGAAAAATAATTATTAAGTTAAATTTCTGAAAATCTATTTTTATTTTTTTAAAAGAAATTATAAAACAATTTTTTAGTAATTTTTATTCATTTATAAATTATAAAATAATTGACAAAAGAGTCAGCCAATTCATGGTCACATTAGTGAGAGGATGTCTCAAGGGTTTATGGCCCAAGTCAAAATAAGTCAACAAACAAAGAAGTCAACATTTTATACAATCTAACGTTCGGTACAAGTCTAGCCTTCCACTAAGAACTTCCTAAAAGAGATCGTTAATGAAACTGCGGTCTTTAATGAAACATATTTATTTTTAAGCCCACCCATCCCCCCCCCACCTCAGAAATTAATTTCCCGGTCAACGAGTTTAGAGAGAGAAAGCCAGGCACAATTTAGGGAAATTGTAGTGTTTTCTAGTCACGTCCCTGCATTAACTACACTTGGTCAACTATTTTTCACTCGGGCATCTCAGCTTATCCAAATTATGCATCGCTTTGTTAAAGTTTCATTTGCTAAGTAGAATAATAATATTCTTACCATCTTGCATTACCATTTTCATGGTGTTATTTACTTTTATTAAAAGATGATGAGTAGTAAATGGTTGAATATTTGGTGACCTCAACCTTGGTTAGTAAATAGCGCATATGTAACCAAAGCCGAATGAAGCCCTGGTTAAGTGAGCGAAAATATGAATGAATTGTCTATGATTCGACTGAGTTATTAAGAGATCTAACCGAAACCCTATAACATAACCCATATAACAAACAAATATAGGAGGAAGAATTGACCCTATTTTCTCTACAGGTGAAGAGAGAGAGAGAGAGAGATTAGATATCGACGTTATGTTGACTCTCCATGATGATGACAACCAGCATTATTTATAGCACTTGGCCCATCTCAAATGCTAGCAGCCTCAGTCTGCCTATGAAGGATAGAGAGAGAAGAGGAGAAACATTATTAGAGAGAGAAAGAGAGAGAGAGAGAGAGAGAGAGAGAGAGAAGGCAAATCAAAGACATGGGCATCAAAGAAAGTACAGAATTGCACATGAGCTTCTGCAACTTGCAAAAAAATGAGATCTTTATACAACATTCAGTCCACGTTAAGAGGTTTGAAGCCAATCAAGTAGACCTCTCCAGGTTTGTCGGATCGAGTGTGGAGATATTCCTGCTATTTGGTCGGATTAATCTGTGTGTTACCTTTCGAGGGCCCAGCCCAGGTGAAGAAGAACAAGAAGACAATGCAATCGCTGATATGATGAACCCAATCTCTGCATATTACCTTCCAAGGGCCCAACCCAGCCGAAGAAGACGTCCATGGAGCTGATGACCAGATGAACCCCTGAGAGGTCAAGCTCTGTACGTTACCTTCCAGGGGCCCAACCCAGCTGAAGAAGAAGAAGAAGAAGAAGAAGAAGAAGAAGAGCAAGGCTATGGAGCCGTCGATCTCTTCCTGGACAGCCCGCTGTCACTGACACTCCCTTCGGGGAGGTGGTCTCGGATCTCCGAGAACTCCCGGCTGCGGGAGTGAAGGGGAACCAGGTAGCAGTCGTCCTTGGCCTTCTTCCGCCGTCTCTCCTGCCGCCTCACATTCTCCGAGATCTGGTGGAAGGTCTCGTTGATCCTGGCGATCCCCCTCTCCACAGGCTCCACAACGTGAGAGACCGTGAACTTGACATCATCCACCATCTGCTCCACTCCACGATATTAGGAAGATCAAGAAGATTATTAAACCCATAAATAGAAAACATATATTCTTGCCATGATTTCACTTGGAACTCACGATTTCGCCGCTTCCGACGACCACATCGCGGACGCTTTGGGGGAAATTGAGCCTCTTCTCTCTGTCCTCGGGGCGGGAGAGGCGGACCCTCGTGAGCCTCTCACTGTCCCTCACCTCTTCAGGGTCCGGGGGGGCGTCAAGCGAGGCGTAGTCGGACATCACGGCCATGTTTCGGATGCATCGCTCACCCCGTTGGTAGGGCCTGGCAGGGAAGACGTAGAGGTGCACCACGGCAGCCACACCCATCTGATCATATCACACACGAAAGGAAATTCATAAGAAACTGTAATTTCTAAAAATGGTTAAAGAAGAAAGTAAAGCCTCGAATTCGTGTTCTTACTGGGGAGCTGTTCATTTCGGGGAGAATTATTTCAGCTTAAATAAACCAAAATTTATGAGTGGAATGGATTTGGGTTTTCTCTCACATAATAATATTATAGAAGAAATTCCAATTATGGAATAATTAAACCATATGGATATGATGGACGGCGATACCTCGATGCAGATTATGTAGTCTTGGATCCTGGTTTTGAGTTCTTGAGCCAAGAAGCCTTTGAAGATGCCCAACGAGAACAGAAACGCCACAATGACTCCCTGCCACCATGTAAGGAACACGATGGATTTGAAGACCAGAAACTTGGCCAGAGGTTTGATGGGCTCCAGCTTATCCTTGGTGACGGTGTAGAACTGTACGAGGCAGTATAAAGCCCACGTCTGGCTGAAGTTGAGGACGACTGCCAGATAAGGGTACCTGCATCCCAAAGGAAGAGTAATTTTATTTTATTTTTTGAATCAGCCACTGGCTAACTGTATAGTGAAATAACTTGAATCTAATGGTTATAAGCGCTCAAGTGTAATTTCTTCTACCGAAGATTTAAAAAAAAGAAAAGAAAAATTATGAACTAAATCGTGGGGCTCATTTTAATGCGCATTTTTCTTCGTACTTTTTTATAATTAAGATGAATAAACATAAGGAAGTCTTCTGAACTGAAACAATCAGGAACGGAGACATTACGGAGTCATACAAATGCAACTCTGAACCTTAGGAAATGGAAAAAAAAATGAATTTGAGTATGCCAAACTTATAGGAAAAAATTAAGCATTGACAGAGCAGGTTAGTACCCATATCTCCACTCAAATTTCCCTTCGCCATAAACCCCAATGAGCTCCAAAAGAATAGCTACAAGGGCACACACCGTCTTCAATATCATCTGATAGGCAAGAAATCATCAGATGAACAGTTCAAAATTATTTCAGCTTCAGCAAAGAAGACGCACAATGGAAAAAGGGCAGATACATACATACTGTACAATGCCTATTTTTACAGACTGATAGAAGTGAGGACCGAGATACCAGTCTTTCAATAACCAGTTCAGAGGAAATGGATGTTCCACAACGCCATTTACGTATGCAGCTTCCAGGAGAGGAGTGCTAGAACTGATTTCAACCTGGGCCTCCATTAGCTTGATCGTATTTTCCTCCCCACCTTTAGGAATGGAATACGACAGTTCAAGTACATGGCCAATGATGAAGACAATCAAATCAGAGTAGCATTCTCCCGATAGAAAGAGAGATGAAAAATAACCCAGCCCCCAGAGCCGCTAGGAATTCAAAGGGTGTTCACATAAATCGCAGACATAAAAGAAGTAGACTGGTTTAGATCAGAAAACCTAGATGCTGATGTCTTCCATGTTTTAGATCATAAAAGAAATAGACAGCTAGTTCATCATAGACCCTCAAAAAGAAACCACCAGTACCAAAAGCGTTATGCATCGGATCTTCTTCACCCAGAAGGTTTTCCCACGCCACTTAGACCATAAAACCCACTAAAAATAATGGAGCTGAAATTAAGCCAATGCATCTCTGAGCGTTTCAAGATCCACAGTTGAAGCTTAGAACTCCCACATTTCCCTTTTTTATAAAAATTGCGATGGAAATAAAACAGAAACATTGAAAATTCATACTTCTCTATTATGCTATATAACAAACTTCTTATCGGTGTTACCCTGATAACAGTTTTACTCTAGAATATTTTGCCCCGTATATCACAGTCAGGTTGTTAATGATGGTAATTGTTTTTACATGGTCTTACCTTTCAACCAAGAGAATGAAACCTCACCGTATCTTTTACCCACAACAGTACTTAATATCGAAACCTCATGTACCTGGCACTATGGAATCAGATGTCAACGATTATGAAAGCCTCAGGAGAAAGCACACATCTAAATTGAAATGATGTTACGACACCCGATTGCCAATATTCTAACGAATTGACAGCAATATTTCACCACATATCTCACTTGCATAGATTGATGTGACCCCAACACGATTCCCATGTGAGATGAGTCTATTCACAGGGATTCAACCCTTCTCCAAAGGATCAGAACCCTTTCAACTGCCAAACCATAAGACGGTAATTTATTGTCCAAAAATATTACAAGAGCAGATGGCGCTCATGATGATCAGAACACTCTTAAACTAAGAAATCAAGGCAGATTAGATGTCTGCCAACCTCGGACAAACTCAACGAACCCTGTTTAAAACACTCATAACTAGAAAAAATTCTATGACGAAAATTATAAACATGAGGACTCAACTGTCCTTGTTACAGTGACCTAAGAGAACATTCAAAACAGATTAAGAGAATGCAACAAGAGCACTTATATTAAATAATTCTATGAAGCATATGCTAGCAATCGGAAATTTCCTTGATTTTCAGAGGTTTCATTAAGCTGTAGCTACATAGTTTTTTGTCCAAAAATATTACAAGGATCTTAGAGCATGCCGCTCAACGAAAAACCTGTTTGCATAACCTACAATTTTCAGATAAGGCTTAAAGACAGATTGTAGTCTGCAAGATTTATAGACTACGAGATCCTATTAGGAATGAACCACCTAAATCTGACAAGAGGATGAGCCAAGATTTGTTACCTATCATAATCTGATACACAATATTCAGAATCTTGAAAATAAAAACAAGTAAATACGCTATTTGCTTCTGTTTCTGCACCTAATAAGATAAAGCAGACAGACTGATCATTTTATTTCCTTGCGCAACTCTTTTTGACTCTGGTAATCTCCCAGAAGGCAAGTCATTAAAACAATAAATAATGATAAGATTACCTAAACATGCTATCAAGTATCTCTCAAAGCAATACATAGCAAATGCTTCATAGCAGTCCCGCATCAATTCACAGACAAATGCAATTTTGGAATCCAACAGTGACAAGAACTGCAGCAGAAACACCATAGTCAGACTGATTAACAAGACACGAAAATATAGTCACGTAAAGTCTGTAATTTGGAAAAGATAAAACCAAAGATTAAAAAAATGGAGTCATTTTTTCAAGGTGTAACATATGTTAATTATTCGCTAAAGGCCTAAAATAACATTAACACAGAAAATCGAAAAAAAGCGTACTTATTCCTCGCACATATTTGATTCTTATATGTATACATAGCATCAATTTTTGCAGATACATTATGACATATTAGTTTTACAATGGTAACATTCACATTAGTTTGATAAGTTTATGCTAGGTGAAACTGCATTGGGCACAGGTGGCTTAACCTCCATGCACTCTGTGGGCAATCTGAACTGAGAGAAACGAGTATATTTTTAGAGGGGAAGATCGTCAGCTAATCATGGATTCTTTTTGTTAGTGTTTGATACCACCAAAATGTGGGAGAGACTTCTTGTCGGAATAAACGAGATGATTCAGTTTTTTCAGGAAAGTTGGGTAGACCATATGTAATGCGTAAAGGATTCTCCTAACCACCCTTTTCGATCAAAGGTCTACTTTCTCATCTTATTAATGATAACGTGATACAATACGTTCTTCAGAAGAAAAAAAACTATGGATAATTTCTGTGCACACTCACACATGATTAACTGACCAAACAGAAATATTACTAAGCATGTTATTTTTCAAACTGGATAAAAAATATGCAAGGAAATAAAAAGGAGTTCACATGACACGGACTTATCCACTCCAGATTTCTTTCAGTCAAACGAACCCAAGAAAAAAAAAATGGAGTAAGAAAAAACGGCTCTGTAACACGGAAATGTCATCTTAAAAACGAGAAACCTCCCAAGAAAAATTTTAGGCAGCACCCTGTTGCAAAGATCATTCAGTTGGACACTATGCACCATGAAAGAATGACAAACACAATTCATTTTAGATATTCAAGTAAAAATGAGAAAATTTTATTTACACTTAGCAGGATGCAAAGCTACAGTTCAACATACCGATTCTATAGAATAAATAGGAACCATTAGAATCAAGCCAATCAAGAACTTCTGCTCCTGAAACAGAAAAAGAGGAACTCAATCATTATCGTGAACATCAATTATTTATCTACACGATCCAAGTCAGCAAATTATTTGTAAGAGTTTTTGACAGTGACTCAAAAGACATGAATTTACATGAATCGCATCAAAGGAAATATATAATAAAAATTATTTAAATATTTATGAATTATAAATATTAAAGCAATCTGAATTTTCTTTCTTTGCCGCGAATGTATATAAAAACATACCTCAGGCTGATTGTAGGCTCCAAGATGCTCGAAAATAAGATAAAATGACAGTAGAAGTGTCACAGACACAAAAATTCCAGCCGTTAAAATTGGCCAGCTGTGAAGTAAGCCTGATTCTGCAGATAGACTTAGGGACAGCATCTTTCTTGAGTGATTAGAAGGTTCGACCAGCAAAATGAGAAGAAAAAATCAGTAGTGTCCTCTCTTCTTTGTCATTTGACTAGATATCATAACATTTTGTCAACTAAAACCACAGTAATTCGCACGACCACAGGATCATTCCTAAACTGAATCATGCACCCAAGTGACGTACTCGCACTCCTAATCATCCCTGCTTGGAAATTTGGTGCAAATGCATCAAGGTGAAGAGATTAAATATTTATGAAATCCATATAGATGCCAGATTAAGGCTGATAAGGTTGGCACGATCAGACAGAAACAACATGTAACCAAGAGTGTGCCTGAAAAAAGAGAGAAAAGAAAAACATGTGTAATCCAGTCGTCTGGAAAAACCCTAATATAGAGGAAATATAATTAATGACGTATTTGAAAAAATAAGACTGCCAAATAAAACTGTGTAAAGTTGCCCACGAGTATGAGACAGTTAAAAATACATTGCATAACATAAATAATACGATAAACATAAAGAAACCAAGGTGGTTGAATATAATCCATGAGTTCAATAACGTGGGAAAAGGAGAAGCCTCTAAACATGTTGAACAGGTGTTAAACGTCACATCCTTGTGAAATTAAAATAAGTTTTCTTCTGAGCAACGAAGCCATGTGATTCCTTAGCGCACATCACAAAATGCCACGCATAAGGTCATATTCATCCGAAGCTGAGGAAGGGTGTATATATTTCCCTGACCACTACCACCACTATCCCCCCCCCCCCTTCCCCCAAATGCTCAAGAAATGCCATAAGCTTCAAATGCCATCACAAAAGTAACTTTCCAATAATTCTTAAGGACAGTTTTATCAGAACATTTATATAGAATAAGCCTCATAAAAGTTCGTCCAGAACTGATTATGTTACATAAATTACATTTGGGGGGCCCTGACCACCACAATTTTCACGTCATGGTTTTATTTACATTCGCCGAGAGTTTAATTTGATTTCTCTATGAATAGATTATCTCTCTAGCATGCTAATTTTCCAGTTTCCAAACGGATGCTCTAAGGACATACCTGTGCTTCAACTCATGGAAAGTGTACGCACCAATGCCACGACGCAGAGCCAAATTACAAAACCCTGCCCTAACCAGCTTTTCCCAACCACCCATACCAACCCATCATCTCACGCCTCTAGGACTCCCAATTCCATGGCCAGGAAACATAACAGTTGGGTAATCATGGGGAGTTCATGCGCCAATTTCCTTTCTCATCACACCTCCTACGAAAAGACGCCAACCCAATTCTCTTCTCTTCCGTGCAGAAAGCAAATACTATCTTTCATACGAAAGAACAATCGCCTCAATCAGCCATCTCTTCGCCGTCCTTTAAATCTCCCCAAGTCTCGCCTCCACTCGCCACAACCAGTCGCGCCCCAACTTCCTCCACCTCCCACAGCTGATGCACCAGCCCCGTCCTAACTCCAGTCCAGGAAAGAAGGGATCACATGGAAAATTACATTTTCATCTCCCCATCCTCCATTCATTTTATCCGCCCAGACCACAGGCTCCGAGAATCATCGTCCGGCCAAGAAAATGAATATGAAAGGGGAACCATCCCACGCACCAATAAAAAGGCAATCCAACGAACGTAAGAGAGGGAAATGGATCAGAATTCTGCGTACCGCTGCTGAGCCCCTCCCTCTGGGTCCTCCCCCGTCGGAGAACTTGCCGACGTCTCAGGCCACCGCCGACTGTACGTGGAGAACCGTGGACGCCCCTGCCTCTTCAGGAGTCCTCGTCCTCTTCGACATACGTCACCCGCGACATTCGAAACGACCTAACTACCCCCCCCCCGCACATCACAACAAAAACCCTAATTCGATGCTCTTCACCATCGCCGTGCCTGAACCGCCGGCGTGCTCATCGGACTCCGGCAGCAGCAACCCCAAGGCGGAGTAGAAGCTGGGGATGATGACGATGTTGCAGCCTCACACCATCGCCGGCGCCGCCGTCGCCGTCTGGAGAAGGCGAAGCCGTCGTTGCAGTTGAGGGCCAAAAGTGTAATTAATCGTGGAAAAAAAGGGAAAGCAGTTGGTGGGAGAGGGTGTCAGTGGGGTCTTATAAAGTTTGCAGGTGGGCCCGGATGTCCGGCCCGAAACCCGTTCTCTGGGCTTTTCGATATGTAAGGGAGACGATCGGGCTTTATAAGCCCCAGGCCCGGCCCGTTAAATAGTTTTATATTTTATTTGACCTTTTATTTTTGGCGACTGAATATTCCCCCAACGAAATTCCAAAATGAAATAATTCCCTCTCTCTCTCGCTCGCTCGCTCGCTCGCTCTCTAATGATCAACACTCATTTAATAAGAACCTCGTTAAAGGAGCAATCTTTTCCATATTTTCGCGTCGGACTTTTAGCGAGAGGAAAATGATGAGTCGTAAGAAAAACATGCCGCATGGACCGACGGACAGCGGAGAGGGGAGATTGAGCGAGACTAGTAGCTGGGCAGACAGACAGCTGAAAGGTGGTTGAGAGAGATACAGAAAGATGGAAAGTCAAAAGGGAACTAGTGCGTATGAGAGAGATAGAGAAAGAAACATAGTAGAAAAGAAGAGAGAGAGAGAGAGAGAGAGAAAGAGAGAAGGGAATGGGTATCCTGATAATGAACAAGATGAACAGTAAACAGCCAGTGCCCATGAGAGAGAGAGAGAGACGGGGAGAGAGAGACAGAGAAGAGGGAAGGGGTATCCCGATAATGAACAAGATGAACATTAAATAACAAGTGCGCATGAGAGAGAAAGAGAGAAATATAGTAGAAAGGGAGGGAGAGAGAGAGAGAGAGAGAAATATAGTAGAAAGGAAGAGAGAGATAGAAAGAGAAAAGGAGGGAATGGGTATCCTGATAATGAACAAGATGAACATTAAACAACAAGTGCGCATGAGAGAGAAAGAGAGAAATATAGTTGAAAGGAAGGAGGGCTTGAGAGTGAGACAGGGAGAGAGAGAGAGATAGACAGGGAGAGAGAGAGAGAGAGAGAGAGAAGAGGGAAAGCCAGATTGGAAGCTCAGGCAAGTGAGTCGCTGCGCCTACAATCTCGATAGTGATTTTGGAAGTTTTTTTTTATTTTTTTATTTTTGAAGTGGGGAAAGTAGTGTCATGATAATGAACAAGATCCATTCCTCGGGCACATTTCTTATTAAAAATAATCCGCATCCATTAAGAACAATTCTCGTTCATTTTTTATTTTGTGAGATTTCAACACCAGTCTCGATCAATTCCATGATCTGTACGTCCAAATTTACTGATATTTCTAACTAACTGATTCCAAGCTTTATAATTAATATAATTCAGGATCTAAAAGTGAAAGACTCCAAGAATATTTCAGGGGGAAATTTTTCAACAAAATTTCGACTGATATTTTTCATTAAATAATAACACAACTTGACTTTGAAATTAAATATGTTTTGGAAAATAATTCCACAAATGCAAAAATAATATTCCCGGAATGGCAACCTGACACTGGAAATTTTGGAGGAATGATGTGATTGGTGGCTGATGTTGTTTTCTAGCATATTTACCTACAGAAAGTATGCTAGTAATTCAAAAACGAGAGGTTGGACAGCAAGAGATTGCAAGAGATGCAAATATCATGGGAAAATTGCATCAAACCAATTACCATTTTTGGTGTTTATAAGATGATCAGATTTAGCACAAAGTACAGTGTGGTAAGAACAGGAAGAACAGACATGCAATCCAGAAGTCGGATTTTATGTTTGTCCCGCAGTCAAATCGTATGGAAAGATGTACATGAACAGGAAATCATTCATAGGCAAACGTTTCTAACAATAATCGAGATTCAAGATGAGTGATAAAATAGTAATCAAACACAAAAAAGCCACTAAATTCGGTAATGGAACCAGAAGATTCAGAAACGGATGCAAGAACAAGCTCAGAAAATCCTTACATATCCAGGTACCTATCAGATGTTCGAATGGACGACAAAAAAGTGGGAAGATTGATGGCCGGAGGATACAAGCCAATCGACAGATGGATAACAATCCAAGGCCTCTACCGGTAAGATTTCTGGAACCTGGCGCGAGCACCGCGTCCACCGAACTTCTTCGGCTCGCAGCGGCGGGGATCGGCGACAAGAAGAGTACGGTCGTACCTAATGAGGATATCCTTGATCTCCTTCTTCGCCTGCTCGTCGACGTACTTCTGATAGAAGGCGACCAGAGCCTTGGCGATGCTCTGGCGGATGGCGTAGATCCGGGAGACGTGACCACCGCCCTTCACGCGAATGCGCATGTCGACGCCGGCAAACCGGTGGCGACCGAGGAGGAGGATGGGCTCATAAGCCTTGTGACGGAGGATCTCCGGCTTCACCAGCTCGATGGGGCAACCATTGATCTTGATCAGCCCGCGGCCGCGCTTGCAGTACGCGACCGCCACCGCATTCTTCTTCCGCCCAAAGCACTGCACGGACTCCACCGGCGCAGCCGCCATGGCTTCTCACTGTAACAAAGAGGAGAGAAATCCAAAACAAATCTTCAGATGCAGATCCCAACCTTTACGCTAGACCTCCCAGTGGCAAGATTAATTAGAGAGAGAGAGAGAGAGAGAGCGAGAGAGAGAGAGAGAGAGAGGAGGAAAAGAGGAAGAAGGGGAGTCGCCGCTGTGTACCTACGGTGTCACGACGAGAAGAGGCGCCGCCGCTCAGAAGGGAGTTTCTAGGGTTTCGAACGGGGAGCTAACCAAGGGCACCAGTTTTGTTGCGGAAAATTACACACAAGCCCCTGACATTAATGGGCCGGCCCATTAAAGGCCCGGCCCGTCCCGGGACCTATCTTTAACCACTGCCACCTGGCATTCTTTGTTCACCATTTTTTTTATTATAAGTAATATATATTTAGATTCAATAAAAACGTTTTCTTCGTAGTCACATAGATGAAACTGACCTATTTACCCCTTCCCTTTACCTCTGCGATGCTTGGACTAATTTCTTATATTAATCTCGATTTATCAAATAAAAATATATGAAGAAAAATTAAAGATGGAGGCTATAGTTAGTCAGGATGATAATAAGTAAGAACGGGATAGCTGTTAAAAAAATAATATTATCTAAATTATAAACCATATAGGAAGGAAAAGTCTATTTCCGTTTTTAAGGGTATTTTGTAAAAATAATAATTATTATTTTGGGATCATCTTTCGGCGGGAAGCTTTCTGTAAAATTATTTTCTGAATTAATCATTTATAAAAGGATTTTTTTTCCAAATATGAATATTTTCTAGGAAAAGAAAAATATATAAGTAATCATCCATTGTGGATAACATGGGCCGTGACCCAATTAGGCCTAGTCCCGGTGCCTGTAATGGGCCATTCTGGGCGGGGCCTGGACTGGGACATGTATACTGTCCCTTGCTTCAGATGGAAGGAAGTCGGTGGGCCCCATCCTCCCGCGTTCCTAGCGCTGAAGTGGAGCAGGTTACTCGAGGAAAAACCTCCCCAGCACGAGTCTCTCTCTCTCTCTCTCTCTCTCTCTCTCTCTCTCTCTCTCTCTCGCTATATATATATACATATAGATAGCTACATCGAGTAGTTATCTACGCCTCGTTAGTTGCTTCTCTCTCCAATCGATCGCACCGTTCTCTCCGGTGGAGTCCAGCCGTGGATCGTTGCCATGTCCGTGCTTGATGCCTTCTTCAGCAAGGGCGCCTTCAAGGCTGCTAGATGGTGATTCATTCCCTCTGTGTTTATCTGTCTCTCTGATCTGTTCTACTTCTTTTTCTGATCTGATGTCCGGCTTTAATTGAACGTTCAAGCTAATTTGAAGTTTTCATGTGATCTGGTTGTGATGTCGGTGAAGGGGATTTCGCCTTTCTATTCCTATGAGTGGGGTCAAATCTGATGCGCTTATTGGGGAGTTTAATTTCTTGGTTCTGTCATGGTTGATTGTTGCAGTAAGACACTGCTGAAGCTGACGATACCGAGAATAAAGCTGCTTCGCAACCGGCGGGAGAACCAGCTGAAACAGATGCGTCGGGATATTGCGAAGCTCCTCGGGTCGGGCCAGGAGGCCACCGCGCGCATTCGTGTATGGATTGTTGCCATTTAGCCTGCTGCTACTTTATTTGGGGTAGAAATTGAAACACTACTGTATCCTGTATCTGAAGATGTGTTTTGTTTCTTATCCTGGTGGAGAATTGCAGGTGGAGCATGTTATCAGAGAAGAAAATATGATGGCAGCCCAGGAGATCCTTGAGCTTTTTTGCGAGCTCATTGCTGTCCGTCTTCCCATTATTGAAATCCAGAGGTATGCCAAACTCTGCGGATCTGTGCTTATTAATTTGCCATCCTGATTGAAAGGTAAAATTGCACTTCTCGTGGATGCATTGTTTTGCATGGCACCCATCAGATGTGAAAGCCAGTTGAATTCAGTCAATACTAAGACAGCATTTGCTTCTTTCTTCATAACTATGATACATTCTTTAATACACAAAACAAGAAGGTTACATGAGCTGGGCAACCACATTTGTTCTAAAGTAGTAATCGATCTTTATGGCCTTTAACCTTAAGTTCTGATTAAAGAAAAATAAGTGTGCTTGAAATGGACCCTTAAAGTTGTATAGCTGCGAATTTGCTGAAGGTTACGATAGAAAGTGGAGAGGAACCAACTGAGATGTACATCAAGACGCTCTAACCATCGCATATCAAATGAAAGGAAAAAGGGTCGATGTAGGATGCTTTGCCCCCAGCAGATATTTCGTTTGCCAGAAGTAAAATAAAACTAATCAATTTACTGTAACATTTTTCACCTGTTGATGTGTGCAACAACCAAGAGGTTAAAGGGTATGCATATTTGCAAGTCCATTCTGTCTCATGTAGGTGATTTTGGATCAAAATGGAACCAGACGTTTATGTTTGAGCTGTACAGAGACGTTTACGTGAGCTTTTTGAATGTTCAATTCCTGTGAGCACCAGTTTTCATTCTCTTATTATCATTGATTAAGGGTAAACAATCAGACGTTCCTATTCCTGTACGATTTGAATCCGAATAGAAAAGTTATTGCCAATCTGTGTCTGATTACTCCCTGAACCAGTGTCAACAAATCCTCCCTTGACATCTTTTTTCATAATATCTGCATGAATTTTCAATACCAAAATGGAATGTCCATTCGAAATTATCCTTTTTCTACTTCCTCATCTGTTTTGAAGGTCTTACCATTGATAAATTAATAAAAGATGTCACAACTCAGTTGTCTGACATCTACATGTTTAGTCAAGCACGTCATGCCATCAAGACTCATACGTCAGAGATAGTGTTTAATTGAAATCTTCAAGAATACAGGCGCCAAAGTAATCTAGATCCCACGTAATAGACTGAGATGTGATCCACAATATGGAAGGAAGTCTCCCTACGTCCTTTCCTCTTCCGAACTCGCAATTCCGAAGCACATTGGAATGGTTCACTGTGGTTTGTATGCAAGAGAGATTATCACATGCATAGATGTAATTTTAATTTTCGGAATTCTAAGGGCACATTCAATCAATGTTCTTCACTTGATATAAGTTCCTGGTTTCTACCACCTTCAGAAGACAGCTTTTCTGTGGTTGCATTATAGAACTATCTCTTGTTATACTGGATAATAAAAAAGGTCAAAGAAGGGGAAAAGTCAAGCGTTTCTGCATGTTATACCCATCTCTCTGAGCCAACATATATATCTTCGTTCGCATGTGAGTTACGTCCTGTGCCACATTTATCCACGAGAATCGATGTGATCAGCAATTAGGTTCAGAGGTATTTCATTTCTCCTGCTTTGCCTCAGTGTGGATTCCGACTTGCATGCCAATACATGGTAAGATAAAGACAATGTTGATTACATTTTTTTTTTCTAACATCAGTTACTCACTCATTCCAGGAAAAAGCAGAGAAACAGAGCTATTACATACTTGTAGAAATCGGATTGTTTTAATCGTCATTCAATTGAGTCCTACCCATGGTTTTCTAGGTTACTGAGCCAATGAAAGCCTCCTCACTGCCTAAATTTAACTACATTACGAATAATTAAATATAAGAAAATAATTTTTCAACATAAAAATTCAGATAAGGGTACACAATGTGTTTGAAAAATGTATTAACTCTCATTAATAAATCTTCATAAAACTGATATTCATGCTTGTTCATGGGAATGCATTCAGAATGCTTTGCTTGCCTCGAAGACAGTGCACCTACCAAATGCTAGAGGAAATCCACGATCTGAGATGCATTTTCTTTATTTCATTTCCTTTTTTATTTCGTTTACACTTTCTCAGAAAACTGAAAAATACTCTTTTTCGATTTATTTTTTTTAAATTCAGAGAATGCCCTCTGGACCTAAAGGAGGCAATATCCAGCGTGTGCTTTGCAGCACCAAGGTGTGCCGACCTGCCCGAGCTTCAGCAGGCCCAGACGATGTTTGCTGCCAAATATGGCAAGGAATTTTTCACTGCGGCCACAGAACTGCTCCCCAATTGTGGGGTAAATCGCCAGGTTGCCTCAGCATCTCGTCTCGGTTTCAGAAGTATCAACTTCTCTTGAACATGAAAACCCCAATGTTCATCCTCCTCATTCTCTAATTCATACCCTTTTCTGGTCATGATTCTCTGCAGATTATAGAACTGCTGTCTATCCGGGCCCCACCCATTGAGGTGAAACTCAGGCTGCTGAAGGAGATCGCCGAAGAGCACGAAGTTGATTGGGACCCATTCGAATCCGAGACCGAATTCCTGAGGCCTCATGAAGATCTACTAGTGAGCTGAAGAACGATTTCCCCAATTACATCAAATTAATCAATTTTGAGTGACCCTGACGCTATTTATAATCTCAGGATGGACCCAATCATTTGATCCTCCCTGCAGCAAGAGACGTAGCGCCGCCAACTCCCAAAGAACAGGCCGAGTCTGATTCTGAGGCGGGCTTTGACTTTCTGGACCTTCCGGACGTCCCCAGAGGAGTTGTCCCATTTCCTGACGTGGGATCCGATCATGAATTCAGAAGATCCAACACTTCCCCGACTGAAGATGATGCGTCGGCGCCCAAGAGTTTAGATCCTGGGCCTTTGAACCTCCATCCTCCCAGTGGGGGGCAGTTCCTCCCATTCATTGCGCCGCCACCACAGTTGCCTGGGTTCCCGGCGGAGCAGAGCGAGCCACTGCCACCACCGCCACCACCACTGCCACTGCCACCCCCCCCGGCCCCTGAATCGCCACTGCCACTGCCACCGCCACCACCCCCAGCTGCCCAATCACCACCGCCACCGCCACCGCCACCACCACTGCCACTGCCCCCGGCCCCACAATCACCACCAGCTGCCTTGATCCTGCCCCCCCCTGTGGAGGAGGCTGAGAAGCTGTGCTCTGCCCCTGAGGCAGCTCCCACCATTTCAAGCGTGAAATGTGAGATCAATATGGACTTGCAGGGTGCTGTGGCTGCTGCCAATGCGGCCGCCGAGACCGCTGAGAGGGCTGCCGCTGCTGCCCGCTTGGCTGCAAGCCTTGCACAGGTGAAGATCACAGAGCTGGTGGCAAGGACCAGCAATGTCTCCGAGATGGGAATCAGAAGGGATCCTACAGAAGTCCCAGTGGGATCTCAGAGTGCAGGGGCTTCATTTGAGGTGATGCCCAAGTCCGAGGAGATCCCCAACTCACCAGGCCCCATCGGCCATGCGCTGCCTGGTAGCAGCCAGACTCTTCGCTCCAATTCTCTAGAGGACGACCCCTACTTCTCCTATCCCAACCTGTTCTCCAGGCAGAACTCAGCGATCGAACCCTCTTCGGCAGCTCACTCCCCAGGTACAGATTCTAGGCATTAGTTCAGATAGGCCTATGTTTCTTTCTCTCTCTCTCTCTCTCTCTCTCTCTCTCTCTCTCTCTCTGATGGGTGTGGAGTGATTCATAAGCCCCTCCAGTGGCCATGTTGTGAGCAACATATTCCTCGGTGCAATTGTGCTTATGAAAGTTTTTCCGCCTTGGGCATCTCTCTCTCTCTCTTCGGGATCCTCCTTACAATTTACCCTCTGGGTTTTCTTTCTTAAGCTCGAACGATGAATGCAGAACGATATTAGACTCGGTCAAGATCCCAAGATCCCTAAAGAATATCAATTAATCAATCAGCTAACCCACCAATTCAATCCTGTACAAGTCACGAGACCGGAAAAAAATAATATAAATTAGAAAAAAAAACAAAAAAACACTCCATCAGATCGCTATGGAGCAGACCTCTGCAAAGACGGCCCTTCCATCGGGCCGCTCTCCCTCTCCCTCCGGCGAGACGCACCGCAGGGCCACCGCCAGCAGCTCCTCCATGGCCCCCCGGGCTTCCTCGTAGTCACCGGGGCTGACATCGAGGCACTCCAACTCCCGACCCTCCCTGGCGAACATCTGCACCCACTCTGGGAGATCGAACACCCCACACCACCCGGTGATGATCTCCCCAGCGCTCCTCCCCGTCAGCAGCTCCATCACCACCACGCCGAACGCGTAGACGTCGGCCTCAAACGACGGTGCACTGCCGGGGCCGGCAGCGTACCCGAGCGCTGCCAGGGTGAGCATCTGCTCCGCCGCGCCTTCCGGCACCATCAGGCGGTGCAAGCACTGCCCAGTCAGCCTGGCCGTGAGGTCGGGCCCCGTGAGGAAGATGTTGGAGGGCTTGAGGTTGCCGTGGGGGAGGCCGCCGACGCAGTGAAGGTGGCGCAGGGCCCGGGCGATGTCGGCGGCGATCCTCAGCCTCTGATGGAAGGAAAGATGGGGATGCCGCCGTCTTGGCGAGCTCTCTGCGGATAAGCCAGGGAGGAGCGTTTCCATAAGATTCCAACATCAGACAGCGTCCAAACATAAATAGAAAGACAATACTTTTCAAATAGTAAAACAAAATGTTCGAGCAAAAAAAGTAAATAGGAGAGAGATACTGTACTATGTATCTTATCCACTATGTTTATGAGAGAGAAAGAGAGAGAGAGAGAGAGAGTCTAGTCACAACTGAAGAAGTATGACTCACTAAGATTGCGCGTGGATTACAGGATGCTGAACAAGATTACCATCAGAAACAAGTACCACATCTCAGATGCAGACGAATTTTTTGTCAATTTTCGTAGCTTCCAAAAGTATAATGTTGCAACACCAATGTCACCAAAAACGAGTATATTAATAGTTATAATAAGGCAAGGCGGCAATATTTTATGTTCAAAGGGAGCATATATTATGTTTGTGCTTATTTATTTCACCAAGGAAATACAGTCAAAAATTAAGGGTGCCAAGAGCCTGCAGAAGCACAAGATACACTGAAGAATGCATCAATCAACTAACTCTCGTAAACGGCAAAGCATTAGTCAGTATACTTTTTCCCAAACACGGAGACCACCAAATCATACCATTTGAAACCATTTCATCATAGCTGAAGAAGAATGTGTGGCAAGTGGAATAATCTAGCAAGAAATTACTAAGACGGTACATAATAACAGATCTTCAGGAAAAAAAAACTCTTACCATGAAGATGGTGCGCCAAACTATCTCCATGGACATAATCGGACAGAATCAGCCTTTCTTGCTCCCTTGGTCCCCAGTAGTAGGCCCTGATTGGAATGATGTTTGGATGTTGAATAGACCCAATTCTTTTCACCTCTTTAGCAAACTCCTTTCTGTGCCTCACCAGATGTGCTCTTAACAACTTCACAGTCAACGTATGGCCACAATCTAGTGTTGCTTTGTAGGAGATTCCGTAGCTACTCCTACCCAGGGATTCTGAAGGGGATTGAGATAAATCTTCAACAGAAAACACCAGGGAATCGTCCAAGAAGAACAACTCTCCAGCAAGCTGATCTGGTGAATCAATGTCTAGAACTCCACATCGGTCAGCGAGGTGTGTATCAATAGAGCGAGGTGAAGATGTTGAAGCATGCGATGGCACAAGTCCACCAGGCACATCACAACTTCTCTGAGCAGAATGGTTTGGGGCCTCCACACTGACTTTCCTCAAATCAGAGCCACATAAATTAGCTGTCTCTGTTACAGTATTGTACCGATGAGACCCAAAAATCTTACGAGGGATAAATCTTCCCAGTGTTACATCTCCGCCACAAGCATTCTGTCGGGATTCGTTTCCTTCACGGGATGATGACTGGGTCCTTATCTTATAAATGGCCATGGATATAACCAAAATCAATGCAACAGCTCCAACAGCTAAGACAATGGTTATTACCCGAATTCTAGATTTCAAATGACCTTCTGCTTCATTGTTAATCAATCCAGACCCACCATTTTCTGTGGACAGACCATCCGGAAACAGCAGAAAGGAATTCCCAGGAAAAAAGGAGTCTTCACGAAATCTTTTCAGTTTTTCAGGAATGAGACCGGAAAGATCATTGTAGGAGACGTTGAATGTCTTCAGACTGACCTGAAGCATATTGGGAATATTTCCCTTAAAGTGATTCATGGACAGGTCGAGAACTTCCAAGCTATCAAGCTCGCCAATTTCCTGTGGTATCTCTCCGGTTAAAGAATTTTTTTGAAGATCAAGCAATTTCAGCTTTTGCATCTCAACTATTTCAGGAGGTAGTTGACCAGACAAAGAGTTGTAAGACAAATCAAGGAACTGCATAAGTGAAGTAAAAGGTAGAATGGGAGATTCAGTGGAATTATGAGTTTGTAGTGGGATAGTTCCTGAGAAATGATTATCTGACAGGTTCAAAAAGGTCAAGGTCAACGACGTAAAAAGGTTAGGCAAGAGGGGCCCTGTCAGTTTATTCACACTGAGGTCAATAACGGACACCTTGGGGTAGCTTCCTAACATCGAGGGAAGATTACCAACCAGAGAGTTATTTCTTATCTTGATGGAAGTTAAGACTTGAAACTGCGAAAAAACTGGTAAACTTCCGGACAACCTATTTGAACTCAGGTCAATATGCTCTAGCATAGCGCCCCATTGGGAAATATAAGATAGATCGCCAGAAATTATGTTTTGACTCAAGTCCACAGTACTGCAACTTCCAATACTTGAGGGCAATGGACCTGAGAATGAATTTGACGAAAGATTCAAGATCTTCAAAGAAGTAGAGTTGATGCTGAAAATCGAACCTGCATAAAAAACCAAAGAACGAACACACCTAAAGCATGTTAGGGAAAACCAGAGAACTTTCATCGATTCCACTGAAAGTCTTAAAGTTATAGCCGCGAATCGAAAACTACAGGAAACCTCCAATCCCAAATTCAAAAAGTGATGTGCCCAGTCAAGAATTGAGATCAGGTGAAACAGAGACGATCACTGATATCACTTACCAGTAAATCCATTACCACTGAGGTCAAGTTCCACCAGGGCCAACGAGCTCTCAAGGAGCTCCTCTGGCAGGGATCCATGAAGTTGATTCTTTCGAGCTCGCAAAACCCTCAAATTTGGAGGTAAGCCGAATGATAGGAGTTCGCCACTGAGCCGGTTGTCACTGACATCAAGAATTTCCAGGTTCCTGAACAGGGCCAGTGAATCACCCGTGAAGAAGCCCCCACTGAGCTCGTTGTAACTCAAATTGATGAATTTTGCAGTGTCTGCCAAGGACAAGAGATTTGAGGAGTTCATCGGTAAACGCCCATAGAATGCATTATCACTCAGATCAAGGTGCTCCACATTCCTAAGTTCCGACATCACGGCAGAGGCGTCTGCCCAAAGGCCATTAGAATGCAGGTCCAGCACTCTCAGCTGATGAAGGTTCTGAAACCCGTCCGGGAGCCCACCCTTGAAGCCATTAAATGACAAATTGAGGTGGACTAGGTCCTGAAGATCTGTGATCCTCCGAGGAACGGGGCCGTAGAACTGGTTTCCCGACAGATCCAAATGCTGCAGAGACGTCAGATATCCGATGGCGGGGACAAGCCTTCCGGTGAACTTATTGCCCGAGAGGCTAATGCTGCGTAGCGACTTCATCCCTGCCAGGGTCGAAAGCTTGAGATCGCCAGAGATGCCGAGGCCGTCCAGGGTGAGAGCAACCACGGCGCCATTCCCGTCACAGGCGATACCGTAAAACGTGCTGGGGCAGCTCCGGCCGCCATTGCCGACGCATGATTCCACGAGGCGAGCACCAGACCGGAGGGATCCTCCCAGATGCCCTTCCTGAACTCGAGCAGAGACCGAATCTCATCCCTGGCCACCCACGGCGGTGAATCCTGAGCTACAGTGGGGAAGACCAACAAAAAAAGAATGGGCACGACGCAGAGGGCCATTGCACTCTCCCTCTCTACCCTCCCCCGGCCACAGAAGACATGGAGAGAGAGGAAGAATAAACCCTACCCATGGAGAGAGAGGGGGCAGCGAAACAGGGAAACAAGATGAGAGAGAGAGGGGGAGAGAGAGAGAGAGAGAGAGAAACAAACTCTAACAGACCGTTGAAGCAGGAAAGGGAAGCAGAAATCCATGCCGGGTACGTTTCAGTACGCAGCGTAGGAATACGCATACCACTCAAATTATGATGCTATAATGCCATAATCTCGGTGGGCCCTGTAGTTGCGGGCCCACCGAGAACCTCGTAATGTCTTTTAATGAGCACAGAAAGCCCATCGCGGGCCGGCCCATGTTTTTTCCACGCTGGGCTTCCGCCTATACTGTCTCCCCCTCATCTCGCTCTCTCATCGACAATTTTAGAATTAAATTAAATTGCATTATATTATAGCTTATTTTATTTTATATCTTAAAATTTTATATATTCTATTTCGGTACAGGGACATTGCACTAATTTAGGAAGTTTATGGGACTGGAAAACTAGATTTTCGTCTCTCTCTCTCTCTTTTTCTCTCGCTGCGAGAAATCGATTTTGTCGGAGACTGCTTGAGGATCCAATTGCCAGTTGCGGTCCGGGTTCGTGGTCTCCAAAACCTCGCCCGGAATCCAATTCCGAAGAGAAACCAGATTTGGCCGGAGATTCTGAGATATCTGATTTTGTGGTCCCCGAAGCTGGATTCCTAGCATAACGCAATCAATCCCTTGAAATCAGATTCTGGAAAAAGCTCGGACGGAGGCCCCGACATCTGTTTGGCCAGGAAGCTATTCTTTCCCGGGAAAAAAGTTATTATTTCTCAAATGCAAGTGGGTCCCACTCGCGCGGCGCGACGAAGAGGGCGGCGAAGGCGTCCATGTAGACGGCGGAGAGGGCGACGGAGGCCTGTACGCCGCCTTCCTCCTCCCTCGCCGCCACCAGCACGACGTCGCCGTCGTGGTTCATAGAGACGAGCTCCACCCTCGCCGGCCGCCCGAACCCGAAGTCAGCCGTCTCGTAGACCCGAAGGTCCGGCCATGCCTGCACGCCCACGCGGCGGGGACGGGGGAGCTTGAAGAGCTTCTCCAGCCAGGACTTGCTGTCCACGAGCGGGTCCTTGAGGCAGGCAGCGATCTCCTTCTCGATGGCGGCGACGGCGACCTTGAGGCCGCCGGCGGCGAGGAGGTCCGCCGCCTTGGCGTAGACGGCGCAGGGTTTCTGGCAGTTGCCGAAGAAGTTCGCGGGGACGGGAGGGTCCAGGTGGGGACGAAGGTCGAGGAAGAAGCAGAGGGCCGCGTCTTGCTCGTCCGCGGGGACGAGCTTCGCTTTCAGCGCGCTGATCCAGCCGTGTGCCGCGAGGGCCACGAACGCCGTCGGCGGCGCCGCCCCCCCGCCGCCGGCTCCCTCCGCCCTCAGGGCCTCCACCGCAGCGGCGCTCAGGGTGAAGGTCCTCCGCGCTGCCTTCAGCCCGTCGTCCCTCGGTATCGGCAGCTTTTCGTTCCGCAACTGCACATAGACACCCCATTCTAATGTCGTCAGAGAGAGAAAGAGAAAGAGAGCGAGAGAGAGAGAGAGAGAGCTCTTGCTTACACTGGGGAGGTTGGGAGTGAGGAGATCTCTGTAGTGCTTGGCGACTTGAACGGCGCCGGGAAAGTCGAGGACGGAGCGGTTCATCAGCATCGCCGCCGGGGAGGTGACTTGCACGGCGGCGCCGGCGAGGCGCTGGCACTCCGCCGTCCAGGCCTCGATGAACTGCCACACGGCCTTGCCGTCGATGGCGAGGTGGTGGACGGAGAAGCCGACGGCCACTCCCTGGCCGGGGAACTCAGTCACCTGCAGCGTGAACACCGGCGCCGGGAGCTCCTTCACGTCGGTCACCGGCACCAGTTTCATGAACATCTCCACGTCGTGGTCGGCGGCGTCGACCAGCCGCCGGAGGTCACCGCCCTCGCAGAGCGCCTCCACGAGGTCGACGCCGTCGTCGGCGGAGAAGGCAATGACCACGTCGTCGACCTCGGGGAGGTAGTCGAGCTTGCCGGCGAGGGAATAGAACCTGGGAAGAGTGAGGGAGAGGGAGGCCTTGAACCTATCCACGACGGCGGCGGCGGGGAGATCCGTCAGGTAGAGGAACAGCCGCTGGATCGGCGGCAGCGGCATCCAGAACGTGTCGTAGAAAGTGAGGCTGATGGGCTTCCTCGGCGGCGCCCCCTCTTCCGCCGCCGCCGATATCCGGCTTACCTTAACCACGCTCACCGCCTCCATGAAGAGAGAGAGAGAGTAAGTCGCGCTGAACCTCAGTACTAATCTCTACTGATCTGTGAGGGAGTGGCTGGAGTAGGTCGCTGAATACGTAGACGGTCGGAGCGGTCGACTCCTTTCACCTGTCCGGTCGTCGGTGCATTATTAAACGCAGTTCCGTGCTCTCGCAGTAGGACGCGTAGCGGGTTTGTGGCCACCCGAGCCAACAACTCACTTTTCTCACTTTTCTCACTCTCTCCACCACGTTACCCCCCGAACGAGGTGTAACCGGTTCGGGTGCAGATGTGAGATCCAACAACTCTCTCGAAAACGATCCATCCCCCGGGAACCCAAAACAATACTGAGATCTCAAAGTTTTTATATATTTTAAGTTTTAGAATATAAAAAAAACCAGATTAAAATAATTTAATTTAAGAAGATTTAATACGTGTAGAAATAGTTTAATGTTATGAAGAAAAAATCGGCCAAGTGGGGTCATATTATTATAGTAATAGTTTAGAATATGCGATCTGATCGGTGTAGGTTGAATGATGAACTCTATTTTAAATTTATAATTGAGCTATTAAAATATAATTATGAAATATATGTCGAATCTACATAGAGGATTTGATTTATTTTTAGTATAATCGTCTTCTCTGCAAAGGTAAATAATTCTAATAGAATGATCCAATAAGAGCGCCTGAGACAAGTTATTTAGTTTTTAAAGAAAGAAAATATACTAAAATAAAAATTAAATAGAATTAGGTGCCAGGTTTTAAGATGATGAATCTCCACTATCTACTGCGAGGCCCGTGAAGAGACTCTTTTTGTGCACGAGAGAGAGAGGAGGAGAGAGGGAGGACGATATAAGAGAGATGAGGGCACTAATAAATAGAGATGGGCGATAGGGGAGAGAGAGAGAGAGAGAGAGAGAGAGAGGAGAGGGAGAGGAGGAGAGAGGGAGGACGATATAAGAGAGATGAGGGCACTAATAAATAGAGATGGGCGATAGGGGAGAGAGAGAGAGAGAGAGAGAGAGAGAGGAGAGGGAGAGCAGTGCACTGGGAAAAGGAAGGAGAGAGTTGACCTGTGAAAAGTTTGACTAGTCAAAGGTGAGACGTGTGAGAGAGAAAGGAAGGGATTAATGAAAAAGAAAAACCACGATCGAGAGGAGGATTCTCGTTCTCAAAGGAGAAGTCTCGATGGTACAAGAAATCACTGGAAAAAATGGAGGTAAAAATCAACGAAAACACGAAAGCCAGTTAAAAAGAGAAAATAAAAGAGAAAAAAAGACATGGGAGGAGAGAAAAATGTTAGAGGAGAGAGAAACTCACCGGCGAAAGAGTTTCTGCCGTGAGAGAGAAATCACTAGCGAAATTGATATCTCCAACGAAAGAGAGAGAAAGCATTATGAAAATCAATTAAAAACAAAAGGAAAGAAGGAAGAGACTAGACTGAAGATCAAGAGGGAAAATGCTCTGAAAAACTAGTGTTGGAGAGAGGTTTCTCACTGGCATGAGAGAAAACATGATCTTTCCCAAATAATAAAGACAAACGATGATTAAAATCAAACAAAAGAATAATGTAGACTGAGAAAATAATTTAAATAAGGTAAGAAAATAAGGTGAAAGAGAAAAAAATATGGTGGAGAGGACAAAGACACATTGATAGGAGAGAACACTAGCATGAGAGAGAAAATTAATCATAGAGGATGGAATAGAGGATTGAAGGATGTAAAAATAATTGCATGAAAGGTGACATGACTTAGTCGTTGTATAGTAAATCACGCAAAATTAAAAAATTATAAAACTAGAAAATACGAATTTTTGGATATTTAGAAGTATTTCTGAACAAATATATCAATTATAATTTAATAAAACTTCCAAATATAGCGGTAATTTTCCAGGTCGATCAAGGGATGTAATATAATATCGGGTAATTATTCAGAATTTTCTTTAAAGAATACTATTTTCTATGAATTTTATACTAGAAAATGACAATTAAATATATTTAAAATTCACAAAAAAGGAAAATAAGGGTACGAAAATCATGATGACGTCGGTGCCCGACGAACACGAATCGGACGAAAATAGAGTTATACTCGGTAATTCTTACGTAAGCAATTACAGATAATTTAATTGATCAAATTAAGATCTATAAAAATCGAAAGAATCATAATAGAATAAAATATATCTTGGTAAATTTAAAATCAATAAATTATCACTAAATGAAACAAAAATTAAGTTGAAAGTAGGAAAACAAAGTTCCAGCGTCACGTCGGCGATGCACCGAAATCCTAAGTGTTCGAGAGGATTGTCATACAATGTCCATAACCTCAAAGGATCTCCTTTGACAAGGACGAAGTGGGTAATCTCTAAATCTCCTTGTGAAGTCTAGAGATCAATGAAATAGATCGTCGAATCATCTACGGCGACTGTCACCCGGCGAAGCGAAAAAATGGCGACTTTGCGGCTCTCTAGCGGCTATCACCTGACGGAGAGGAGTTGAATGGAGGTGGGGCGTGTGTTAGGGAGCTTCATCTTCAGGTTCGCATAGCAAGAGGAGGCTCTTCATTACATCCGATACGCTCTCAGGAGGTGGCGACTTGTCTCCCGGCGGATCGTCCTCTTTCCGACAATGGCTTGTTCATCGATCAACCAGAGATGCTTTACTCGAGGGATTTGCGATTCTTTTATCACGAATCGTTCAACAATTTTAGTAACAATACTCCGCGAATCACGTTGACGAGATTTTCGCCGATGATCTAGCGATTTTGGTTGCTTAATCCTTCACCGGTGATCTGCAAGAGAGTTGTGATAATTAGATAAAAAATATAAGTTTTGGTTCTAAGAGGATTCGAACCTGCGCCGGTTGCCCGCCCTTTTTGGGGAAGGTGTGACACAGGTTTAGTCCCACATCAGTTGTGCACCGAAGTTTATGGTGAAAATATAGTAATATTACATTTCCAATCAAGTCCCTTCCTCGCGTGTGTACGACCACTCCTTGCCCCACAGTCGGCTGGCCACCAGTGATGTGGCAGGGGAGTGGTGCACACATGCCCCTATTGATCCTAGTCACTCAAGCCCCTACTCGCGGCTCCTCCCCGACTGCGCTTCTGACCTGCTTGTGAGCCCGGCTGGCCGGCGGGTCCCCCCCATTTTGCTATATTTTTATTTTTATTTCTTTTTCTTCATTTATCTCAAAACTAAAACTATAAAAATTATATAAATTTGTATAAAATCACATAATTATCTAAAAATTCACGTTAATCAATTGAAAACACTTTTCACACTTTAACACAAATATAAGTCTATTTATCATGAGTTAAGGCTAAAACTATATTATTTATTAATTATTAACTCATGATAATGAAGACTTATCAAAAGGTTAAGAACATGAAAAAATAACTAAATAACAAAGAGGAAGAGGAAAGCAAAGAAGAATATGTCAAAAAGGTAAGAAAAATGAAAAACTCCTCTCATCTATCACTCAAGTAATTGTGAGAGGAGGAAGTGTGAAAGAGAGAGATTGAGAGAGAAGTGAGAGGAATCTCAGGAAAGAGAAGGGAAATAGAAGTAAATGTGGGAGATTAGGTACATGAAATATAGATTAAATTTTTTTAACAGATATAACCTTTCACTTATTTTTAGTTAAAAAAATATCATGTTATCACCAAGTAACCTTGAAGCCAAACTTATGGTAGTCATCAAGTTAGAATTAGGGTAGGCTGCATTATCTATATTTATCATTTGAGATAGCCCTGCTAACTCAACTTCTTCAATTTCAAATTTCAAAAAATTTAAAATATCAAAAAATAGGAAAATAAAAATATAGGAAATTAACAAATGTATTAATTTTGAGATATTTTTTTTGGGGAAGAAGAGACCTTTTAGTTCTTGACTAATCTACTTTGATAAGGTAGGTATATTGGTATACTTGCTCAAATGATTTGATCATACATTTTTTATGTCACAAACATAATAAATGAGATAGAGTATCCTTTATGAAATTAATCAAGAGTCAACATATATTTCAACAAACAAAGCCTACATTTTCATGGCTTCCAATCTTCATGAATAAATCATTTTCAAGTTCAGAATTTTTCTCATGTGGGTATGAGTTTTATTTTCCTAAATGTTTTCATTTAGCTCACATGTAAAAAATATTTTGCCTCCATTCCATGATGTTTAACAAATTATGTATGATGAGATTTATCAAGTGACTTACAAAAAAATTTTAAAAATATATTAAATTAAAAAAAACTTCAAAAGCCAATCTCGTGCAAATTAGTTGAGAGGATTGATTTGATATCTCATAAATTTGAGTTATAATATCTAAGTGCTCTCTCTGTCATCTTCACTTGACTCAAAGGTACACTTACCTCCCCAAATATCAAATGTCTCTTTTTTTGTGGACCTACCTCTTTCCTTGAAGTTTAAATAATTGTTCACATGAATATCTAGCTAATTTTTTCCCCTATAGCTGTGATTATATACCAATATTGAGGGTGAATTAATTTCCTATTAGGTTTTATTAATTTTAAGTAACTTAAAATATTTTTTACAAATTTAAGTGGCTTGACACAAAAGGAAGTAAGCATGTCCTTAAATTGTTCATCATATCAAGGACAACTAAGCATGTCATGAAAAAGAAAATATTTAAGAGATCAAGGATAACATTTATTTTATATCATGTCTACTTTCAATTCTGACTTTTGTAATCTCAAGTTTATCCAAACTTTCTTAGTAGCTTATAACAAGTGTTGTTTATTAGAATTTAGACACATCTCAAGATCAGTGCAACATACTCATAATTTTTTCAATCAGTGCTATCAATCCTCAAGTATTGAAATCCAATTCTCATCATTATTTTCACCTAACTTGTGGACCACTAGTTAGAGTAGTCTAAAAATTGGTGGGCACTGCCAACATCCATTTTTAAAATACTCTTATCACTCTTTCTCACCACCAATATCACTAAGTAGCCTCAAACTCTAGGAATTTTATGAAGATGCAAACTAAGAGGAAAATGCACTATTGCTTCACACCAAGAAGTACAAGAGAGGAAAAGTCCAACCCTCCATTGTTCACTACAATGGATGTTGCAAGGGCCCTCTATTCATAAGGGAAGAGTGGGGTGGGTAATGATAGCACATGTTAGCTGGCATTGTGCTCTCCATCTAATATTTTTCATCTACTTGCATCATCTCTTGTCACACCATATTACTAGGTGCATGCATGAACCACTGTGCTCCACCACATGCCTTATGACATATACACAATGCACTATTTTTTGTCTACTCTCATGCTGCTTAAGCAGCCACAGCATATTGCTGTCAAGTACCCATTGTGCCGATGTGCACCGCCATATGTGACCACATGCTTTTACACTATCATGTACCCCCTCTCCTTTGTGCCATGTTCCCTTATGGGCTAGCACTATGCTGCACTCCAGTATGTATATGTCCATGTGTTGTCTATGTTGCTGCTATCCAACCATTGTACTACTACAATATGGCTATCATGTTGCGTTGTGAAAATTTGTGATAATGTATGGCTGCATTGAGCCTTCACTTCTCTTGCATGCTACACTGTGTCACTATATGTATTTCCACATGTATGATGTTCTTCCATGTTCCTCGGTGCACACAATACTCTTATGTGCATCTCATGCTGTGATGCATTGCACAAAATATGCCCATTCCACATGGACTCTCATAGACCACTGCCTAACCTTATGCTAATAGTCTGGATCTACTTTGAGACTCAAATCTGATAAAATTAGGGAATGACAACCAATCTTAAGAAGTGTTTATTAACCCTAGATTGTATGTCTCACACTACTAAATATAATATCTTGATGGTATGTACGGGAGGTACCCCATCCCAAGATGTGATGTCTATGTGCTTGAGTGTGTGAAGTATCAAGAGGAGTATGTGAAGTTCAGCCCAAGGTAATTATCAGGTCGATGCATTGGGATATGTGAAGTATCGAGGGGAGTGACCTCCAAGAACTTTGGCCAAAGTACAAAGGCCAAAAAAAAAACATAATATCTTAATATCCTTTCTATAGGCTTTCATGGAACTAACTAAATGACTAGAAGATATTCATGAAAGAAAGCTATAACATTAGCCTCCAAACTAATTGAAAAAAATAAAAATACATAAATTAATTACATGCTTGAAATGAAGGTCTATGTCATTTGAATGTATATGATGTTTTGATAGTGTGTTTTCGTTTTTTGACAATTCTCCATTCAATGTCATTAACCTTAGCTTCTTCAAATTTCTATACATGATGATTTGTTAATTGTTGGAATGTTTTTTCATAAAGAGCACAACATGAGCATTCTTTGTTGAGGACTAGTCTTTCAATTGAGTTCCATTTGAAGAACACATTGTTATATAAATATATGGAAGACCATATATTTAATCAAGTCTTGGATAGTATTTATAACTTCCCATAAATTCATCAAAGAAAAAATTGCATTTTGTATTGAATTGAATGTTTAGAATAGAAATTGGTGATCTAACATTAAAAGCTATATCATCAAAGAATAACTATAGTGGTGATCTTCTTCTAAAATTTATATTTTATGAATAAAATCAATCTTTACTATCTCTAAATTATTAATGTCCATAGTTTTTATGATTACAAATGAAATTTTACTAAAACATCCCTATCTTCTAGTTTAGATCAATAAATTATGAATTTTAGTTTTGATTTATATGCTTAACGTTAAAGTTAGATTTTTGTGTTTTAATTATTTCAATTATTTTATTTTATTAAATTAAATTTTAGAATAAATATAGGAATATATTGTTAATTTTAGAAGTCTGAAATTAAAATAGTTAGCATAATTTTTAATTAATTAGAAAATTAAAAAGTATAAAAATAAAAATATCACTGCCAATTGGCAAGCCGACACTCAGCAACTGACCCGGAGGGGCATTGTGGTTGAGTGGGTAGACCTAAACCGGGGGTAGTCACAAGGTGGGCTCAAGTGGCAAGGGACTCGCTTTGTGCACGTGTGTGTCACTCCCTTGTCATGTCTCGGTGGCCAACCAATCGTGAAGGAGCATCATACACACGTGCACACGAGGGCGAACCACCTTTTTACCTTCTCCCAAGATGTCCTAGATATTATTTTATTTTAAGAGAAAGGATCTTTGCTGACAAATCATAGCTTTGATTTATGCTCAGCTCATTCGCCGAAGTATTTCTAATGTGGGACTAAAGTTTCTTGTCTATTTCAAGTAGTCATCTAGGATGCGGTGTTATTCAATGGTGTTCAATGAGCCATGTCATCAAATAAGCCAGATCTTGTGGTGAGCGAGCCGCCACGATGCTCAGCATGCATGTGGCCTTAAATGATGATTCGATGGCTAAGGAGGCACCACAGTACTAGAGATTTAAGTTATCGATCGGTAGCGATTTGTGAGGGGTTGATCCTACGTCACTTAGCACATCATGTGACCAAGCACATCTGATCTAGCAACTCACATAGCACTACAATATGGGGAAGTTAAGTTCTCACATGTATTACCATTAGGGATATAAAGATAATAATTAATTATTATTTAGTAAAATAGATATTATTGATTATCTTTAAAATCCTAATGTTAGTCGCAAATACGACAATCTATTCTTCCCTCCTTTCATATGATCAATGCCTCCAGCAATCAACAAGCTCATTCCTTCCTCCCTCGACTGAACTCAAGGCCTCTGACGAGAGATAGTATGGTCGACCTTTCTCTAACAAGTGGCGCAGCACTTCCAAGCAATACTTTTGTGACTTCCAACATGGTGTGGCACATCTAAATGAAATCAAGCCGCCACACTAATGTCTCCAGTTGCCCAAGAGATAGACTAAACTTGGGCAACGATTTATTTCCTACTTTCAATATTAGTTACCTATTTTTGTCATTTATTTATATTTTACGACAAGTTATTTCTATTTCATGTATATTTTAATTGATGACTTCCAGCATGATGAATGATCTTTGTTCTTCTTCTAAATCTTTCAAAACTCGTATGAGATTAAGTTAAAATCATTTTAAACTTATTTTCTACTAATTTTTAAAATCAAATCTCGATGTCTTCCTATTCTCAGTGTTTCGCGAATAATAATATTTTTCTATTTTTGAAAGTAAAATCAGCAAGGTTAAAGGCTGCTTAATGATTGTTAAATTATTAAAATAATGTGGAGATATTCACGACTCACCTCGTGTCATGTGTGTGAATTCTTGAGTACACATTCATCTGAGAATAATGGTCATCGTAGAAGTAGGTTGATCGTATTTCTCTATTTTCTTATTATTGTCTTATTTCTCTCTCTCCTTCTCTTGTGAGACCTCTTCTTCTCTCTCCATCTCTCGTGAGATCTCTCCCTCTTTTAATCAATCTCTCTCTATTTCTCTCCATCAATTGATCTCCCTCTCTCTCCTTCTCTCTCCCTCTCTCTCTATTTCTCTCCATCGATTGATCTCCCTCTCTCTCCTTCTCTCTCCCTCTCTCTCTCATGAGACTTTCCTCTCTCTCCATCTCATGCGAGATTTCCTCCTCTCTTTCTCTCTTTCGTGAGAGTTCTCTCTTCTCTCTCTCTTTTTCTTCTTTCTTTCTCCACTTCCCTTTCTTTATTCTTCTCACTTCACCCTTCTATTTTATTATTTCTATTAAATAATAATATATATTAAAATCACTTTATACATAAACTAAATTATTTTTCACAATAGATTAATCAATCTTCCTATATTTGACCTGAGACTTACTTCTATACTAATATTTTACTAAGTCTTAGTTATAAATATCAATAGATAATGTGCATTTAAACACAACAACAAGTGCACCTCACTTAACTTGTGTGGATTAAACATTAATATATTCAACAAACTAATTATATTGATTTTTTTATTTAATTATTATGATTTCAGTACTAGAGATTAAATCCAAGGTTTCAAATTATGAAATTGAGGTTTTTTTAATCCTAATAATACTTGAGAATAAAAAATTACTAATTGAAGAAAGATCTATAGATAAAAAAAATTAGAATAAGTCACATAATGTTATACGCCATGTGTCAATACATGTTATATAAGGACCATGTGTCAACACATTCGCAAAACTGAAATATTTCACATGAATTATTTTCATGATTATCTAAAAATAATGCTACATCATTTATTTTATTGTATTTTCACATGCCTTCAAATTATCACGAGTACTAAATCAATAAGAAAATAAGGAATATATCAAATATTCAAATTTATAAAGTGTATCTTAATGGTGATACTTCATATATGTATGAAGATAAGGTTGACAGTTTTACATCAACTTAAGAAGCTCTCATTCAAATTTTCATTCAAGTGATTTTCAGAATAGAGAAAATAAAATATTGAAAGGTCAAAACATGGAAATCATGTCTTCTGAAATGGTAGGACTTTGGACGAGCAACTCAAATGTTGAAGATCTTAAAAAAAAATTAAAATAAATACAAGATGAAAGATTTTAAATTAAAGACGTGTTTTCAACTGATATAATTAAAAAATACTTGAAGATTTAGTGCTTTCCATCAAGATCTTGACTTGCACCTTAACAAACTAGTGTATTGAAAGATGTCTATAGATATAAACTTGAGGATTTAGGCCATTAATCCGATTAAAACTAGTTTGTATTCTTAAGAACAATAGTCAAAAATATATTATAGTTTTCTCTAGAACTAGTAATTGAGTGAAGAAAAAAATGTTATATAATCTTTTGTCATTGATGAGAGAGTGACAACAGATCTTATTGCCATTAACAACTTTTTAAGTATGTGTCACAACACCCTCTTTACATTAGTACATAGATCAACCTATGTAGGAACTACTTACGAACTGTAAAATCTGTAAAAAATTGAAAAAGTCTAATTTACACTCCCCCTCTCTTCTTTGTGTTTCTACTAGTCATACAATTCAAATATAGATAATTATTTATTACACTTACACATTGTACAATATCCTTTTCAAAATCAATAGCTCAATATCCTCAATATGTAGACACTTGTCATAATGAGAAGGGTTCCCTTAATACAACCCATATGAGAGGCATTATTGGTTCAAGAAGACCACTAGCAACGTTTTGTTCCCTCATCATTTTGTTCTTGAGGAGGCCTTGACTACTTGAGAAGGTGGTGCCCTTGATATATGTTTCACATAGTAGTCAATTTAAATATATCATGCTTGTGACTTACATGTCAACCTTGGTTGTCTTACCAACATATAGTAGAGTTCTTATTGTGGAACCACTCTTCTTACCCATACGGTTGTATATTCCTCAAACACAACATTATATTTGTGAGGGAGGCTCAGCCTATTCAATGAGGCTGCAATCTCCTCCTAGTTATAAGATAACACTCCTATTGTTTTTCCCTATTTTGGTCCTATTATTAGCTCCACCCTAATCCTTGATGGGATGACTTAAGAACATAAAGCAAGAGAACAGCTGGTGAAACCGTATTTCTAATGTGGTGGTGCCACCATTCTTCTTATAAAATGATTCAACAGTGTGAGTTGCTATGAGTGGTCCCACCAATAGGGCTCATAAAGCATAACCCTCACTATAAGGTTAATGAGCTCTTCCCACTAACCTTACTCCCCAAACATAATGCTTCTTGTGCCGCCTGCCTTTATGTAATGCCTCCTCATTCTACACCATGGTTCTGAGTGATGTACACCTCTACATTTACCTCACTTGTGCCATACCATGTCAAAACCATGCCAATGTCATTGTATGGTGTGCCATCTTGGACTAAAAACCCCTAAGGTTTAGAAGATGTTTCATTGAATCTTGCTCTTTTTTGACATAGTTGTCCATCTAAACCACACATGCTTGCCTTGAAGCCATTTGGGCTTTGTGCGAGCTACTACATGCCAACACATGCAACCTATGTATATATAAGCATCTAACATGTTTGCGGTTCATTGCGCACCTCTCCTAAACCTTGCTTCATTTTGACAATGTTCTCCTAAGTCTCCTATACTTTATGCATTTTGTAACTATGTTGACATGTGTACAATGGTGTGGTTTTATGTTCATGCATGTTGACATGTACATTGGGATGAGTGCATACTAGCATGGCCTCATCCCAATGGTGTGGTTTTATGTTCATAACGTCATTCATCCATGCAATGGATCCCATAGTAGTACCCTTTTAGTAGCAATGGTTAGACACTCTCCCCATGCAGAATCACATGGACATGTGATGAAATTGCATGTTATTCTCCAAAATATTTTAACAAGAATACTAAACTATTAGTAAAAAAGTTTCCTAACAAAATGATAAATAATTTTATTTAATTAATTTATTCCTTAAGTATTGTTTAGCCTTTTGGATTCATAGACTTTATAGCTCTTTGGAGTTATTGGAAACCAATTATCTACAACTAAAGTTTTTTGATAAAAAAGTGGAAAAGTAAGGGTTACTGTTTATTTTTATTTAAAGTCTAAAATAATATTGGGGAAATCTAATGGACCCTTATACTTTTTCCTCTTTGGATCTCTAGAATAAAATTGTACATGCAAATACTCATTACTTTTGAGCTAGCTTGGAACTTACCAACCTTTCTCTCTCTCTCTCTCTCTCTCTCTCTCATGCCTGGCTTCATATCATAGCACAGGTGGGCCCATACTAGTTAGACCATGGCTTCTTCTGGTTTGATCATAACCCAGGCCCAGAGTCGGGCTTCTCTCTCTCTCCCATTTATGGCCAATAACCTGCCTTCTTGAGACTCGTGGGGATGCCGAGTGCTCTTTAAAATTAATTAATCCTCTATCTTGCCTCTAATTAACATACTAAAATAGTAATTTATAGAATCCCAATCTAGCCCGGATTAATAACTTCCTTCAGGCCCGGGATTCATGTCCGGCCCATTTAAGACCCTGGGCTTTATTTATCCCTTCCGGCCTATTGGTCACGAGCCCATTAGCGACCCCTGTGCTGACGTGGCAGGTCGCAGATCTACGCCTTCCGTCGCAGGCGGCCGGGGGGGGGGGGGGCGGCCTTCTAATTCTGACAAGGCAAATATGCGGCGCCCTCACCCCGAAAGCCACGCACAGCTGGAAGCAGCTTCGTCGGCCGCCGATTTGGGTGGTGGTGGGGCGACCCTACGGAGATCTACAGCTACGGAGATGGGGACTGCGGCCGCCTCCCCAGCCGCCGCCTCTGCGCCCCCATTATATTAGACCCACCGGCGGTCAAGTCCACCTACTTTTCGAACTAATCGCCAAGCCCAGGCCGCCGATGCGGCCCCACCGGCGGGCGGCCATTAGGGTTTCTCGACTGAGGTCTAGGGTTTAGAGAGAGAGAGAGAGAGAGAACAGTAAGAAGAGAGAGGACAAGAACCGCCACCATTATTTCCTCAGAGAAGAATTCGACTGCTCGCAGGTAAACCGCACATTTGTCTGCTCAGAGCAAAACTGGGGGTGCTGCCATGGCGGAAAACCCTAAACCCCGAGGGACGACAACTCCCATCTGAGCCATCAAAGTTGCAAGCAAGAAAGGCAAACAAAAGAAGACGACTACGCTCTCCGGCTCTCCAGATTCCCTCTCTCTCTCTCTCTCTCTCTCTCTCTCTCTCTCTCTCTCTCTCTCTCTCTCTCTCTCTCTCTCTCTCTCTCTCTCTCGCTCCCTCCCTCTCTCCCTCTCTCTAGACAGAGAGGGCAGCAGCAGCAGAAGATGTAGGGACGGCGGCTGTGACGAGGGGTGTCTCCATCTCCAGCGAGAGCTTGAGGACCTCGGCCATGGAGACGGGGTGGCCGTCGGCGGGTAGCCACTGGAACCGGTGGACGAGGCGGGCGACCCAGAGCGCCACCGTGGCCATGGCCAGTCCCCTCCCTGGGCAGACCCGCCGGCCGGCGCCGAAAGGGGCCAGCCGGAGGTCGCCGCCGCGGACGTCCACGGCGGCGCCGCCCTCCGCCGGCAGGAACCTCTCCGGGCGGAACTCCCATGGCTGAGCCCAGAGGCTCGGGTCGTGGGCGATGGCCCACATATTGACCATCGCAGTGGTCCCATCTGGGACCACCATCCCGTTGCTGAGGTGGACGTCGGCGGTGGAGAGGCGGGCCCAGGAGAGCAGCGGGCCCGGCGGGTGGGCCCGCAGGGTCTCCTTGATCACCGCCTGCAGGTACGGCAGCGCCGCCGCCTCGGCGTCGGAGATGGCACCGCCGGGCCCGGCGGCGCCTTCCAGCTCTGTCCTGAGGCGGGCCTGGACACCCGGGTGGCGCACCAGCTCCGCCATGGCCCACTCCGTCAGCAGCACCGTCGTGTCGGTCCCACGGAACACCATCTCCTGCCACCCAGGCAGTGTCAGCTTAGCAGTGAGAAGAAGAAGGGCGAGCTATCTGGTTTTCGTGACGTACCCACAGGACGCCCACCATGTCGTCCTCGTCGAGCTCCTGGTTAGCTTGCAGTGACAGCAGCACGTCGACGAAGTCGTCGGAGCTCCCTCCTTCTTCCCTGCCGGCGGCGGCCCGGTGGCCGGCGATGAGGCGGCGGACGAGCCGCCGTACGCGGGGGACGACGGCGGCGCAGCGCTGGGTAACGCCGTGGGGGTCGTAGAGGGCGCCGAGCCAGGGGAGGTGGTCGGACCAGTTGAAGGCGCCGAGGAGCTCAAAGCCCTCCCTCACTAGGCAGTCGATCTCCGCGGCCTCGCCGGCGAGCTGGCGCTTGCCGAACACGGTCCCCATGACGTTGCTCAGAGCCGCCGCCTGCAGGTGCCGGCGCAGCCGCACGGCGCCGGTGGCCTCCTGTTCCGCCGCGACGGCGTTGAGAAGAGCGGCGCAATCGGCCTGGCGGGCGGCCTCGTGCGCGGCGACGCGGCGCGGGCAGAAGAGATGGGAGGCGGCGGCGCGGCGGAGGAGGCGCCAGTGCGCGCCGCCGCCGGGGGCAAAACCCATGGCGCGGGCGAACATGAGCTCGCGGGCCGAGCGCTTGAGAGGGCGGTCGGCGAAGCTCGCATGGCAGAGGATCTCCCTTGCGACGGCGGGGTCGGAGGAGACGACGGCAGGGGTCGAGCCGATGGAGAAGGCCATGAGCTGCTCGCCGGCGCCGGAGGAGGCGCGGGCCAGGGCGGCGAGGGCGCGGTGGGGGAGGCCAGAGGAGAGTGCAAGCAAGTTACCGAGGACGGGGAGCCCCCGGGGGCCGGGGATGGCGGTGCGGCCGAGGCGGGTCCGGCCGTGCCTCCAGGCGGCGCCGCCGGGGGTGAAAGCCCAGGTCAGGAGGAACCCTACGAAGAGGGAGAGTGCTACTGCCACTGCTACGAGGAAGCTGTCGGAGAGATGGTCGGAGCCCAAGATGGCCAAAAGGGCAAAGAAGAGCCAATTCGAGTCCCCACCGCAGGAGCCCAAGCTCAGCCCCGCCATCGTCTCAACCTCCTCCCTCCTACCTACTGGCGGATCGGTCGGTGGTCCTCTGGCAGCACCTAGTGCCCAACACAGACTAATATATCAGGAGAGTGAGAGAGAGAGAGAGAGAGAGAGAGAGAGAGAGAGAGAGAGAGAGGGAAGGTTCGCGTGAAGAAGAGAAAGAGAGAGAGAGAGAGAGAGGGTGAGCGACGGGCAGGTCGTGGAGTCGTAGGGAGGGAGATGAAACGTGATAGGCAGGCGGAAACGGCCTGAGGGGAGATCCTTCTGAAATCGTTTTTTTAGGGTTTCGACCGCTGAGAGAGAGAGAGAGAGAGAGAGGGAGGTCTATGGTTCCGAGTGCAAGGCTGTCATTGAGGGTGTTTACGTAAATTCGCCTAGGGTGAACCTTATGGCGACTTCCATGAAAACCCATATTTGTTTCTTATTTTTCTATGTTCATGTACCAAGGTATCGTCACGTTTTGTCCCTTAGGTGGGGGTATATTTGTAATTAAAATTAATACTCTGTGGTTTATGAAAGGCTCATGAAATCCAGAAGCGTCCAAAACTCGAAAGTCCCAAATTGATGGGCCAGGAGTATCCGAATGAGATACTGACTGGACGGACTGAGTGAAGTACGGCCCGACGCAGTGGGCCCAGGAGGGTGGGGGTGAGGAGGAAGCATCACGTTTTTGCCTTTTTGTTTTGGTTTAGAAATATATCCACTTGATCAGATGGCTTTGCCCAACAGTGTTCTCAGATTTCTAGAATCTCATTTCCATTTTTCTTCTTCCACGTATTCCCAATTAACTAAGAAAATGACCAAATTACTATGTCTATGGATGTCTTTTATTCATCCCACAGTTGGATCTATTGTATGCCTTGACTTTATGTCAACAATGATTGGCAATCATCATAAAATATATATTTTTAATATTTACATGAGGATAATAATTATTACCAACCCATGAAAATATCTCATGGAGACTAGAAATTGGATCAAAACATACTGCAAGACTTACAACTATATTATTTACAAGTAGCCATTATGTTTTCATAAATTAATGCTTTCTTGTTGTGAAGAAAACATAAAATCTTACAAGAAAATTTAAAATTCTAGAACGTATACCTATTTTTTTGAATATTTTTTTACAAATTATACAAATTTCTAAAACTTCTAGAAAATGTATATAAACATATCAAATAATTTGAAAAATAATCAAGCATTTTTAAGAATTCATAAGATGTATGAATACTTTGTAATGTGAAATTATCATTCTACTGATTAATACATTTTACTGATTTTCCTCATTTAACATGTTCTTATTGAATGGGTATGTGGTACCTTTTTAAGTGTTATAAAAGTATTATGCCATTATTTTTATAAGCTCTCAATATAAATTTCATCAAGCAAAACTATTATTTTACCCCTATGTGTATTTTATCAACATCAAAATTATAGAAGACCCAAAAGGTGATACAAATTTAGAGAAAAACTTCAAATTCAAAGTCAACACTTCAAAAATTAAGATTAGTAAGATTCAACTTAGTTATTCATGATATTATTTTGGTTCATAATGATTGAAGTATAACACCGGTAGCAATAGCTTAAGGGCATTGGTATTTGACGTGACTTAGTCGTTGTATATTAAATCACACAAGTATAAAATTTATAAAACTAGAAAATACGAATTTTCAGATATTTAGAAGTATTTATGAAAAAATATATGAATTATAATTCAATAAAACTTCCAAAAATAGCGGTAATTTTCCAAGTCGATCACAGGGATGTAATATAATATCTTGTAATTATTTAGAATTTTTCTTAGAGAATACTATTTTATATGAATTTTATACTAAGAAATAAAAAAGAAAATATATTTAAAAGGGAAATAAGGGTGTTGACGTCAGGATGACGTCAGCGCCCGGCGAATGCGAATCGAGCAGAAACAGAGTTCCACCCGGCGATTCTTTCGTAAACGATTACAAACGATTTAATTAATCAAATTAAGATCTGTAAAAGCCGAAAGAATTGTAACTAAACAAAGTATATTTTGGTAAATTAAAAACACAAAAATTAATCACTAAATGAAGCGTAAAGTAAGTTTGAAAGCAGGAAAACAGAGTTCCAGCGTCGCGACGGCAATGCGTCGACGATGCACCAAAATCTTGAGCGTTCAGGAGGATCGTCGTGCAGTGTCCATGGCTTCGAAGGCTCTCCTTAGACAAAGACGACGTGGGCAATCTCTAGATCTTCTCGTGAAGTCTAGAGATTAATGAAATAGGCCGTCGAGTCGTCTCCGGCGGCTGTCACCCGGCGGAGCAGAAAAACAGTGACTTTGCGGCTCTCCAGCGGCTGTCACCCGATGGAAAGGAGCTGGATGGAGGTGGGGTGCATGTCAGGGAGCTTCATCCTCAGGTCCGCACAGCAAAAGGAGGCTCTTCATCGCATCTGGTACGCTCTCAAGAGGTGGCGACTCGTCTCCCGGCGGATCGTCCTCTTCCCGACGACGGCTTGTTCGTCAATCAATCGGAGATGATTTACTCGATGGATTCGCGATCCTTTTATCGAGAATCGTTTAGCAATTTTAGTAACAATGCTCTGCGAATCGCGTTGACGAAATTTTCACCAATGATCTAGTGATTCTCGTTGCTTAATCCTTCACCGGCGATCTGCAGGAAAGTCGCGATAATCAGATAAAAATATATGAATTTTGACTCTGGGAGGATTTGAACCTGCGCCAGTTGTCCGCCCCTTCTGAGGAAGGTGTGACGCGGGTTTAGTCCCACATCGATTGTGCGCCGATTTTCGGGCGAATATATAGTAATGTTACATTTCTAAGCAAAGTTCATTCTCTTGCATATACAACCACTCCTTGCCCCACAGCCGGCTGGCCACTAGTGACGTGGAAGAGGAGTGGCGCGCACACGTGCCCCTATCGGTCCAAGCCGCTCGAGCCCCTGCTCGCGGCTACTCCCTGACTGAGCTTCCGACCCGCTTGCGGGCTCAGCTGGCCGGCGGGTCCCCCTCATTTTGTCTTATTTTTATTTTTTATTTTTTTTTCTTTATTTATCTCAAAAGCAAGACTGTAAAAATCATATAAATTCATGTAAAATCACATAATTACCTAAAAATTCACATTAATCAACTGAAAACCACTTTTCACACTTTAACATAAATATAAGTCTATTTATCATGAGTTAAGGCTAAAAATATATTATTTACTAATTATTAACTCATGATAATGAAGACTTATCAGTATTTCTAGAAGCATAAAGCAAGAAAAATTAGTTATCAATATATTATTATTGTTTGGAAGCCTACAGTTTTATTTCATCAAGTGAATGCTTATCACATAATTGTGTTCATCACAATTTGGCAACATTAACTAACATCACCAGCTCAAGTTTAGTAAGTGTATTACTCATGTGACATTGTCTTTGTTTATTAACTCATACACATTTAAAATTTATAAAACTAAAAATACTACTTTTAAATTTTTATAATTTACTTCACATAAATATATCAATTTTAAATTGTTAAAAATCTCTAAAAATAGTGAAAAATTTCTAAGTCAATTGCAATTTTAGAAATTTTCTCAAATAATATGATTTTATATAATTGTTACTAAAAGATCATAAGAAAACATTTTTAAAATTAGAAAAAAAAGAAAAGTCAAGCCTTGACGTTAGGTAAATGTGAGCACTACTCGAATGATGTTTAAAAAAAAAATAAAGTTCTATCTTAAGCAATTTCATACATTTTGATTCATGAAATCAAGATTTGTAAACATCAAATGAATCATAATGGAAGAAAGAAGAGTTTTGAAACTTAATTTTTAAAAAAAATATTATTAATCTAAAGATTAAATAAGTTTCAACAAAGAAAATAAAGTTCCAACATTGCTATGACAATTGCCAAAATTTTGTAAGTTCAGAAGGTTTTTGAAGGATGTCCACGACCTCAAAGGCTCTCTTTGAACATGCACAGTATGGACACTCTTTAAATTTCCTTGTAAAGTCTAAAGGGCGAAGGTAGGTGACAGTAAAATATCTTTGACAGTTGTCACCTGACAAAGTGAAAGTTGGCAGAGATTGATTTCCAATGGCTATCAATTGACGGAACTAAGATAAATAAAGGTGGAGCACATCTTAAAAAGCTGCTTTATCAAGTCTATGTAGTAAGATCAGGCTCATATCACATTCAAAATAATCTAAAGAGATCGTGACAATTCTCCTGATGGATTTCTCTACCTTCGACAATGGCCCATTCGTTGATCAACCAAATATAAATTTTTCTCCTAAAGTTCTCATTTTTCTATATGAAATCCTTGATCAATTTCAAAAAATCATCTTTGATTATTTTTTATGAATATTTCATTGATGATCAACCATTTGTTTCAATTTTTCTCGTTGACTATTTCCCTAAAGAAAAATCATAGAGTTAAAACAAAAGAAAATAGACATTTTGACATTGGTGAAATTAGAACCTCTACCAATCACCTAGCTACATGAGTGAAGCCAAAAAAATTATCATTATACTCTTGAACTGAAGTCCGCTTACCGAGGAAGATATGGGGGAGGACCCGAGGCTGGAGCAAGTTGGGGTATAGAGCTGTAAGCGCAGTGGGAGTGAAAGAGGATGTGCTCATATGGTTCATAGTTGGGGTATGATATTTTCGTGGATTGTTGGGAACTTTCACTCCTCTATATTCGAAATATGCCTTTCTAGGAGCATTATGATCTGCAGCTCAAATGGTCTCTTATGAAGTCTCTATTGGTCTTATTCTTATTGTGCGCCTTGTGAGCACGTTTGGATGCGCAAAGGCAATCGCTTAATGCATGAGAATTTTTGATATTATTTTGGCCGATGAGAGTTGTCGGTGGTTTAGTCCCACATTAATTGTTTTTAAGAGCTTTAGACCTATATAAGTCTGAGCTATCTAAGCCATCAATTTCTTTCTCTCATAAATAAAATGGCTATGACCACTTGAGGAGAAGAGTAGACAGCTGGTCTAC